CGATTCAGGCGCGGACTTGCTCTCGCCCGGTTGCACTTCAGAGCCTTGGGCCGGTTTATGGTCTGGGCAAAGACCGAGAGCGGAGATTTAGATGAAAGCAAGCTCACCCAGGAAGGTTCGGGCTTGTAGCAACTTGCCCAAATGGGACTTCGTTCACTGTTTTGGTAAAAAAAGAACGTTTGCCTGGAGGGGTTTTGTTTCGCCCCAAGACTTAAACATAGCTTAAACATGTCATGTGTCGTTCCTGTAGGGAGTCTGCAGCAACTGCAACGGACGATGATGTCGACGGTCTATTGTATTGGTAGCTTGGACATGGGCTTTCCTCCCAATTTCTGAGTGGGGAAATAGGCACTATAGGATGTAGCCCACATGGGCTCTTTCTAAAAGGGGACTTGCATGATTGGTTCTCAACCAGGTTCGTGACGTTTTGAGGCGACTCGCTTGCCCAAAGCGATCCGACCGGATCTGACCTTTGCGTTTTCTGTTGTGGGACAAGGTTGCAAAAAGCGATCACTGTTCCTTTCTAGGTCCTTTGGTTGCAAATAAGCAGCAGATTCCACTTTCCTGTTGCTTTTTGTGGAGTGGGGTTCCCTCCAAGATGGACCGAAGATATCGGGGTGATGAGACCTTTCGCCCTTGGGAAAGGTTCCCATGGGGGAGCCCAAGTCACGCAGAGACTGTTGACACCCTGTTTGGTTGGGAGTTGTCTGCAGTTCGGCCACGAGCGGATTACTTTTGGCCTCCCTTTAAACGTTTCGAAGGCTTCAAGGGCGTGCTTTTAGACAGCTGGAAATGCGGAACGCCGCGGGGTTCCTGTAGGCTGCAAATCAGCGGGGTTTGAGTTTCAGCCGAGGGTTTACCTTTGTCCGTTTTCGGAAAGCATGGATCCCCCCTCATTTAGGTATCCACGTAATTCCTCTTGGCCCACCAAAAGGGGGGCCGAACAGCAAACTCTGTCAGCCCCGACACCTCAGAGGTAGAGTCTGTTGCGAGAGAGCTAAGGACCTGGGGCCGGGGTTTTCTGAAGCACTGCTTTTGCGCTGTGTGTTTTGAAGCCGCGTGTGTTGAGCCAAACAAGGCCAGGCGGTCCCGAGCCAAAGCAAGACCTTTCTGAATTCAAAAGTACAAGCTGCACAATCGACGGAAGGTATGTTACGCTATGAACAAAGCTCATTGTATATGTTTGGGGTTGTCACAAAACATGGGACCCCTCAACATGGTTGGTTTCCATTTGGTTCCCCGTTAAACCAGCCCAAGAATGGTACTCTCCAAGAAAGCCACACCCATTTGAATATTTGTTGGTTGTTGATTGTCAAAGCCATTGCACGGATATGGCTGTGTTTTCTTTTGCGGGTACCCCTATTCTTGTGATTTAGAAGGGAGTATCAAAAGGGAAACCGAGCCGTTTTGGGGGACCATTGATAAAAAGGGCACCATAACATACGGTGGATGGACGAACTCCTGCACCACCTAAGGAACCCTGGTTTCTGACTCTAAACAACACGATTGGGATTTGGACTGATGATTCACATCCAAGTGGGATGCAACAAAATGCCCTTGGTGAAAAGACCAGCCTGCAACGAGTTTAACTTGTTGCTGGAGCCGTGCCGCGCATCGCCAGGTTGGCACCTCCAAGTGGCGCTCAGCGCGGCTCCAGCGCGGAGCGCGAGGCAAGCAGAGGTTGCCGACGGCGTCGTCAGATGCGATTTAAGCCGGTTTGAATGAACCGGTTTCTTGGATTTTGCCTAACCGTTGTCGCCCTTAAAGCCTACCCACCCCGCATAAACGAGAGAAACGGGAAAATCCAGATCTTGTAAGTTTGTCATCGCAGTGGAGTCCCTCGAGCTTTCGCTGGAGCTGACTTTTTATTTGATTTTTCTTGATCGCGCAAGCGCAGGAGATGATTTGGTGCCGGCAGATGTCCTTGAGGAGAAGGCCCGCAACTCATTTGGGATCTGGAAAGCGGCCGGATGCAGTTTGTAGCATGGAATGTGCTTTGATCCTGGCTCTGCAGGGATTCACAGCATCCGAAAGGTGCTTGAACTCAGTGGGTCTTGGAAGCTGGCAGTTCAGGGACCTGTACTCGGCCCAGGAGAAAGATCTCAGCCGTGGTCCGCCCAAGAGCATGCGACTGATGACCGAAAGGTGCGCTCGCATTTCGCACGTGGATAGTGGCTGCGGGGGTGGCCATTTTTGCACAAACCAACGAGCAAGTCGACAAATGGCAGATTTCCAAGCAGCAGAAGTTGGGCATGTTTCGGCCTCCCGTGGAAACCCTACGAACGAGGGCTAATTTTCGCAAATGGGAAATGGCTACGCCGCCCCTGCACCCCAACCCCTTGGGTGCTTTAGGTCACCGGATTTCCACCGAAAATGTATTCTGGCTTTCCCCTCTGGTCTCCCTTGAAAACCACCCCAAAAAGTTGCCCTTGAGGAATACGGCGGTACTCTCGCTATGCTAGGGTCGCGAATGGTATCCTCGAACAAGCACCACCCCATATGGCTGTGGGTCAAAATTAAACCACCAGGGGACCGCAGGTTTTGGTCCATCTTTCCATTTACCCGGGTTCCATTTTGGGCACCTATTGTTGACCCACAGCCATATCGGGTTGCAAAACGCCAGGTATCTTGGGGTCCTCAACTCAGACGAGAAGTTCCTGGAGCTCTTGGACCTCGACAACGGCGCCTGGGTGATGGGCAGGTGTCGACAATAAGGGTCCCACCAAATGGGTGGCTTTGATACCAACCAAAAGGGTTGCCTCGAAGAACTAGACACCCTTTGCGGCCCCTGTTCTCCAACCCCGAACTACCTGTTGTTTCACCTCCTCTTGTTGTTTCACCTCCTCTTGGCTTTTGGTTTAATATTGGCACAAACGCACAAACAGCCTTGCGGATGCCCTGCTCCCTTTTTAAAAATGGGACACCTTGCGGCCCTGTAAGGGGGACACCTTTGGGTCCTGAAGGCCGGTGTCCTAAGCCTTGAGGGCCTCAAGTTCAGTTCGATCCTCTCAAGAAACGAGACCAGTTTTCTTCCTTCTCAAAACCGCCAGCCGTCCCTTGAAGGAACCCATTTCCCACGAGAAACCAACGCAAATTGATTTGCCAGCAAGAAAGAAGCAACGCGACATCCAACGAAGTGTCCGCGGGCAGTAGAAACAGTTTACTTCCTTTGACAGAAGACAACCACCCAAAAATGAGGGGTCATACCGACATTTGTCACCTAGGCACCTAGGGCACCCTTCTTCAAGGCTTGGCTAGGGAGCCAAAGGTGCACCAAGTTTTGTTTTTCTGAGGCGGCGCCACCTCTGCGAAGTTGCCCCTGAACACCGACATGCCCGCGCCTGGGTTTCGGCTTCGGGCCAGAGGACCCCCGACTCCGCAGGGTTTGGGCCATCTTTATCTGATTTTGATCTGGCTAAGACAGAGCCGGATAGAACGCGGGCCCATGTCGTCCATTGCTCGTTTTGGGTGTCTCCTTGTTTCATGGGATGGCACCCTATGGAGACAAATCCAGAACCAGAAACCCCAGCCACAGCTGCACGCGCCAACCTTTTGTCCCCTTTCGTGCCAGGTGTTGATAGTGACTCACCATTGGTTTCAACTTTCTGCATGTTGAACCAACGGAATGCCTTTTGCCGCGGAAGTCCTCCCAGTGAAGGTTTGCCCTTCATGTCTCAGATGTATTTGTGGGGGAAGTCTCCCTTTCGGACCCCTGGAACATGGCCATTCAAAAACCCAGACACCCGCCCTTGATGGTGTTTTAATGGAAGCCAAAAGGACACGAGCCACTTTTCGGTGGGCTTCTCACCTTGGGGAAGCCCAGCACAGAGTCATATGCGACTCAGGTCTTTGGAAGGCTTCTGCATTAGCTCCACGGGCATTTTCTTCTTGGGCGGCGGCAGCCGGCCGAAGTTGCAGGGTGTCCCAGCGTTTGCTGCCGCAGTGTCACCCGTGGATTTCGAGTACGGGGTATGGATTCGGATCGGCCGCCCAGTCCGGCACAAGCCGACAGGTCCTTCCTAGTTTCTTTGGCAGACTGTGGCATTTGGTGCAGCGTTGCATGGAGTTTCCAAAAGAAGGTTCAGAACAGCAATTGGAAGCCGGCTGTTTAGAGCCTGCACGATTTGGACTTGTGAGCCTATTCAACCCCCTGAAAAGCGATGTTGATACGTCATGCGGGGCCGCGTTTGCCATGCCTGGAGTTGAGACAGTATTTAGTTTGTCATGGGAGATTCGAATCACAAGACCCAGCCTCAGCGGACATCGTCTCAGGCTGAGATTGCCGATCCAGACGCCCCTGAGAGCCTAGATGTGGTGAGGGCTTGCCAGCTTTGCTGGAAGGAAAAAGGAAAAATAGGAAAAAAAAGACCTGAAGGGATTCAAGGTGAGCACTCACCAAGACAGACCGCTCCCGAATCCGTAGCACGCGGTGAACGGCGTGCGTGGAAGAAAACTGTGGGCGCGTTGTGTTTGGTCACCGACTGCCTGAGCCTGTGAGGAGCCCCTGCGTAACTTTATTCCTGGCTGCCAGTCATGGGGGCTGGTTCGAAACTTTTGGCACCTTGGAGAGGACGAGATCGGATCTTTGTTCGGTCTGCTCAGAAAGAAGGGTCGCCGGTTTTGAACAGCCTAGACAATCTCCAGCACTTCAAAGGCCTGTGTAGGATGCCTGCCTCTGCTTTGCACGTCTAGCCCTCTGGCTCTGAATTCTGCACCTTAGACTTAGACTCAGTTCCCCGTTTCGGGGAAGTCAAACATGGGCCCTGCACCTAGCAAAAAATGCGGACACCCTTGACCCCAAGACACTGAGAACACGTGTCCCTGAACATGGGCCTGCGACCGGAAGCAGCAAGACTGATTGCACCGAACCGAACATTGAGCTTGGTCTTTTCAGTCAGCAACTCGCTCGTTGATAGCAGTTCCAGTTCGCAACTCGTTGGTAGTTCAGTTTCCCTGGCCTTTCCGGCCCTTTTTTTCCCCGCCCGTATCAAGAATCGATCGCATCCCTGGCCAAGCCTGGGGGCAAAGTCTGGGCACAACGAAGCACTTCTTCGCGATGCATGGGAAGCTCACGCCATGGGCGCTGGGCAAACTGCCGGCCAACATCTCGGACCCGGCCTCCCGAGGGATCTCTCTGCTCCAGATACAAGAGCTGCCGCTCAGCGAATGCGGCTGAAACGGCTTTTTTGGGGCAAGCCAACACAGCGAGAGCTGAAGAAATTTGGATGTGGTGTTCCCCTTTATTGTCCATGTTTAGTCATGGCCCCCAAAGGTCAAACTTTTACTGCTGGGTCCTTGTGCAAGTGAGTTTGGGCCCTTTGAAAGCAGAAGACTTCCCCACAAAGACACCCATTTGGCCGTTGGGATGATGCTCCTGCTTTTCGCAAAGGTCCAGCATTCAGCCATTAGATTTGTTTTTGAGGGTGGGGGGTTGCCCTGATTTCATCAATCCTGGAAGTGGCCGGCAGTCTTCGAAAACCCTCTTGTCCACTTCCACATTTGTTGGCAAGAGGTAAACTATGTTTATTCCAGTCAACCTAAGGTCTGCGTTCATCAAGCGCTTGTGCAAGACCGGGCTGCTGCGGGAGGAGTCACAATCGAGCACAGAAGGATGCGATTGGCTCCATTGGGAGGACATCGCCATGGCAGCTGGGCGCACAATGATCGGAAAAGCATCCGCAAGCCGGGCTGTTCAACTGGGCCCGCAATGACATTCTGACAAAACAATGGCGACTCTAAACCGTGCCAACTCGGGGATTTCAACCTGGTGCACAGTTCGCCGGATTTTTTGCCTCGAGCTCCAAAGAACCGACAACTTGCCCCAGCATCCCATAGCCTATGATTCAACGATAGCATTTGAGGGAAATAGTTTGGGAAGCCACCAGAAGGAGCAGGTTGTTTCGACAGGTTCTTATCTTCGGAGTCATCCTTTCCCCATTGGAGGGGTCCATCTGCACGGGCCTTCCCAGACCCCATGTCACCCAGGAAGAGATCGCCAGTCTCATCGTGAAGCCGGCCATTCGCTTTTTGGCGGCGGAGATTTCCAAGGATGATTCCGATTCACGGCCACCGGAGAACACCTGGAGCTGGGTGGAGATCGTGGCATATGGTCCGCAGGATCCCAAGGTCTTCGTTTCCTTCAGCCTCCACAGTGCCTTCCGGGACTTCATGGGCAGTGTAAACCACTTGGCAGATGACCAGGGCATGACTATCCGCGACAACCTGTGGATAGGCATGTTTGCGCTGGAGGTGGTGGCCCCGTTGCAGGTCTTTGACTTGCTGAACTCGCCCTCCTTCAGCGCATTTGCGAAGTCAGAGGCCACTGCGCTGTTTCTGGATAAGCATGCCAGTATTCTGGAAAGAAGTTGGTGTATCTTCGAGATGGCCATCATTACCGACACGGCCATCAGCCGTAGGAGGTGGAAGCTGAGGGAGGAAATCGCTGCCCAGCAGGGATGCAGCATGTTTGATGTAGAAGAACAGAAGGTGTTGCAACTTGAGAAGGAGAGATACAAAGACTACCGCCAGCCCAGCAATGACATCTTCCAGTCCGAGAACGGCCGGCTTGACTGGCAGGTTCGATCTGAACTGGCAGAAGGGGGCGACCCCTTCTCGGTTCCCTGGGAGGAAGTGCGAGAAAGGATCCGTCTCATGAAGCAGGGGGGTGGTATTGATGCGAAGCCGCTGCTGCTGTGTACCATGGCTCAGTGATCTTTGGATGTCTTTTGTGTTTGTTGCTTTTGTGCTTTGCGGTGTCAGCTCCATTCAGGGGACGCCCCCCCAAGTGGCGGATGTTTAGGCTGATTTCCCTTTTGGAATCAGGTTTTGAACCAACGTATTGGTTGAGCTGTTCGAGGCTTGTCTTAGGCGCTTTGGACAAGTGCGGAAGGGAAATACAACTCCTGGAAAACATAGTAAGGGGTTTGGGTACCTTCAAAAACAGACGCTCTCTAAGCCGTCTGTAAAAAGGGTGTTACCAATTGGTAGATGCGCAAGTCAAGGGCTTTCGGGAGTTTGTGTTCCACGCTTAGGACACGTGGTGGGTGTCAGCTTCTAAACCAGAAACCATGACACGGGGTTGTGTTCCGTCAATTGGCTGGTAACAGCAGCAACATCAGCCGCGAACTGCACACACAAAAGCAATGCCAATGTGTTGCTGCAAAAGTGACTCGCTTGCCATCGCTTGGACCTTTCAACTGGAGCCCGCGGAAGCGCTTTCAAAACAAATCACCTTGAAGCAGGGTACCCCGTCAGTCCGCAGAAGCCACGCGGAAGGGTGGAGCGCTCAATGGTTTTTAATATGACGAAAGCATGTTTGACGCTCGTAACTCAATTAAAGCTGTAAGGAAACCCAAAGTTGAACAACACACGTTTTTGTTTTTGTGTCGGAGATTATCATTTTAATGGTTCCTTCTTGAGGGTCCCAGATTTATTGGTATTCACCCAGACCACTGCCTTCTAGAATATCGGTTCGGTTTCCGGCCATGAAATCTGGGGTCCTTTCGAAGACTGTCGCTTTTGTTCAATATGTTGCGTTGAAGGAATTTCGTTCAGGGAACAACCGTCTTGGGATAGCAATTGGAGGATACAGGGCAATGTGCGGTGAGGTTGGCGGTGTCAGGACTGACAAATTCAAGGCAAAGAAACACCCAAGCTCTAGGTGTTCATTGCATTAGAGCCTCCCTATTGGCATAGTGTTTAAAGAACACAAGGACAAGATACCGCAAACAGGAAGACTCCCTTTTGTGCTGGACCTACCTTGATCCAAGGCACTCCCGATGGTTTGGTGGGCACGCGCCGCGCCACCTCTGTTCCTGTGCTCCACGCGTTGCTTCACTCCTTCTGTTGCAGCAAGTCTGACAGCGCTGACAAGGCGGAGCGACGATTAGTGATGAGCCTTGGCAGAGAATATGTTTCCACTGGCAAGTGCAGTTCAGATTGCAATCCGATACAATCCCTTTAAACGTTTAAGGCCCCCTTGAAGTGGATTGCCATTTGGCTGTGGGTCAAAACCAATGTTACCGTTTTGCAGTAGGTGAATTAACCACCCATTTTAGAACCTATTTTAGTGGGGATTGGAATGTTCACTGGGGAACGATTTGGATTTTGACCCATGGCCATTTGGGATTGAGGAAATCGGAATGGCCATCCTTGAGCAGCGCAGATGTTTGCATGCGTCATTGCTTCTCTCGTCGTCAATTTTACTTCTCCCAGTGACCAGTTGGAACTCGCATGTTTGTCAATTCGGTGGGCAACATTGGTTTAAGCAGCCAGCTGTCACAGATCTGTTTAATTGACAAAACTACATCGGATGCTCTAGCAGTGGTTTCAGTTTGTTTCAAAGGGGCCTTTCAAGGAACTACATCGCACAGTGCTACTGTGAAGAGGATAGGAGCAGTGCCCACTTGCTCGACGAGATTTGTACCACGGACGAGGGCTATGCGCTTAACTCTGTTGAGACGGTCTCCGAGTCACTGTCGTGCTCTTAGCTTCGCACTGGTGAGTGCAATGTGTCGCCTATGCTCGACATGCGAACCCCATACAATAAATTCTCACTGACAGGAACGTTTGCTCCAAAAGGGGTTTCAAGGTACCAACCAATTGCGGACTCTTCCTAACGATGTGATCCATGGTCTCCACTTCCGATCCAACACCAAGTCAACCGTTGCCCTTCTCAGATCTGTTCCAGTTGAAGGGAGACAGTGGTGCGCTCAAGGCAACGTGGGTGGGAGGATACTCGGACAATGCTAGGCAAAGATGATCACCCTGCTTGATCGATGTGCTTTGTAGAGAAAATGCCTCACTTGTGTGGGGAACGGTTATAGCCATGGCTCCCTAAGATAAACATCCCTGTTTGGCCCACTTGTAAGCATGATTGTGACCCACCGGATAAATCAATTGTTTCTAAACACACACACACACACACACCAATTCCTCATTTGTTTTACATGTGTTTGAAAAGAAGGATGCCTGGGAGGAATTGGCGGGGAGAAGCACTGGCAGAATTTAAGGGAGACCAGCCCATGTTGCCCCACGTAGAACACCTCTTGCAATTAACCAACTTATCCAGGATAGAATTGTATATGGGTGTGTCTTTTTTGGGGGACCCCCAAAATCGTGGTTTCCGTTAAAACCACAAAAAAAAGGCACCAAGGCCAAAACAAGTCACCCCCATCTGGCCTTTTTGATGGTACCCTGTTCCTTTTCGAAGGGAAGCCAGCGATTTCGCTGGGAGCTGGGGGGTGTCCATGCCCCGAACTAGGCGATTGGATGGCTCGCCGGAGTACAAGCACGAGCACGGCCCGGGGCCAAGAGACAAACCGAGTATCACGTGCTGCGAGTCGGGTGTGGGTCAAAATTATACCACCAATCGGACCGCAGGTTTTAGTCCAAGTGTCCATTCACCAGGGCAAGCCATTTTGGGGTTACCCGGGTTACCCTATTTTTGACAACCACAGCCACTTGGGCCCCAACTTGAGGCTCGGAAACCGCTTTTGGGGTGGCGTTTAAGAGAAGCCCGAGGGTAAACGGGGAAACCACCCCTTGGGGGGGGGTCCTATTTTTTATTTTTTATTTTTGCTTTTTTTCCGATTTGTAGTGGCCCCCATGTCGTATCCTGGTGGAAATGCTGTCGGCTGACCGGTCAAACGGCAAATTAAACCCCTATGAAAGGTTGATGACCCATTTGTGCCTTGTAAAGGTGTGCCTAACCCAAAATGGATGTATTAGCTCACACCCGAATCTGCCATGTTCGAACAAAAGCTGAGCTTCCGAACGTTCAACGTAGGCCTGAGCAAAGTAGAATGTGTCCAGAGCTGGGTCAGGCATGTGTTACTAGTGCGTTAGAAGAAAGCCAAATGTCAAAGCTGACAAGCTTACACAGAGAATTGACGACAATGCAGGCTGTTACCATTCAGAACCACCCCAAGATTGCAATCTATCATTATGTGAAGCATATACCATGTGTTGGTAGCCATGGTTGTAGGGGAACCAACTCTTACCCACAGAAGAACCTCACGAAGTTGCAAGCTTCCAAGCAGAGCTATCAGGTGGCTGTAAAGTTGGAGTGCAGCCAACTGTCAATCGGTGACAGGGCCCCATTTGTGACGAAACAAGCGCTCATGAACCCTGTGATGGGATGTACCCTCCCTCCAAGAATCATTGAAGCGGACAGGAGGGGGTCGAAAGATGACTTTCCTTTGTGGGAAAGCCCTTGCGCAATTCCATGATTGGATAGAGGTATCGCAGTTGGCACGGTTCATTTTTGCCCTTCGTGCACGCCGCAAGCGTCCGTTCCATCGAGGCCTAGTAACTGATGAAAAGACCGCGATGAAGTTCAAAATCCTAGACCACAGCATCCGACAGGAGCTTCTGATCTTAGCTTGCGCATAGCTATGTTGACCTGGACTTTCAACACCTTACGGGGGGTTCCCCCCCAAAGTAAAGGGCCAATTTCGCGAGACTCCCCCAATCAACCAAGGGTTTATTAAATTTGTTGATCCGGGGTCAAAGTTAGCTTCAGTCAATTGTGGAGTTCAAGTGTTAGGGCCTGCTGTTTGAGTTGCGGTCTGGAGATTCGCCGCTTGCTTGCCCCGGCATTTTGGATCCAGTCCCAAAGTCAGATGTCGCCTCATGGTTTGGATTGGTGGTTGGGGGCTATGAACCTTTTGGTCACATTGATGGTACCAAAAATTGGAAACAGCCCTCTAACCTCCAATCCCCCAATCCGCATAGGTGGAGGCTGGCAAAGGGGCGCATGTCTCCAACAGATAGTCGTCCACCCCTCAAAGTGCGGATCAGGTGTGTTGCCCCAGCTCTGTGAGCCTCGTATCTTGAGTTGTTGTCTTGACGGAAGCTCTTCCGATTCCCATACGGGGCATCCTTTTTTTGAGAGCTGAAAAGAGCTTTTCTGGAAACCGAGATGATGGATAAGCGCTGGCTAACCCTCTATTGTTCAGTTCTAGGCATTACATACCCAGTGGACTATGGCTCTGCAGTCCTTCTCTTGGAGAGCCACACGCAAGCTTCAGGATGGCCTCCGCTTTCCTGGCTCTGCCCTTTCGACCAATTTTTTGAAAAGATCAAGGGACAGCGTGCTCCAGCACTTTCCGGGCGTTTTTTTCTCTAAAGAGGGAATCGACAGGCAACCTTAAGTTTCTGTGTGTTTCGGTTGACCCAATGGGGGGTGGCTGACCATAGCCGGCAAAAAGGCCGACGGTACGCACTCCGGTTTGAAGCTATATAATTATGTTTGCCCCGCCGGTTCTGCGGGATTTTGACCCTTTGTTTGGCCCAGGTCAAATGCAAAAAACGATCTTCTGTCTTTCCTTTCTACCTGCAAAAACACTCCCACCCCTTCAGGGGTCCCTTTCCTTCTAGCCCTCTATGAGTTTCAACCTGTGGAAAGTTCCGCAGCCTTTGGGATTTCAAACTTGCCAAAAACTCACGTTCCACCTGGCATCTCATAGGCGAGTTCCGACTTCACACAGGGGGGGTTCGACTTTACCTACAATGTCTGTGAGTTATTCAAACTTACACCAGAATTATGTGTAGCACCCTTCCCATTTCAGCTCAGACCGCTGGTTTCACGCGTCGGCTTCGTGTCGCGTGTGAGGAGTGCAGAAAGGCTCTAGAGGTCCACAGCTGAGCATCGGGTTCGGCGCATGGCCCGAGTGCTTCAAAAAGGAAGGGGCAGGACGGAATATGGACCCATGTAGAACAGAAGCGGCAAATATTGGTGGTTCACTGCCAAGGGGACCACGTGACAGCCTGTAAATGGCATGCCAACACGATGGTCCGTTGAAGTCGAGTGAAGCGACCAGCTACCAGACATGTTTTCCACAAGCCGAGGCGCGCGGTGTCAAAGATAACTTTGACAACTGGAACACCATCTACGACTTGAAAAGAGCCACGGCCTGAGAGAGAGCCTTTTGGCGCCTCCACTGCCTCCAGTGCCTCCGTTTGATTGTTTTCCTCTTTGGGGGCTTCTGGTGAACATCAAAGTACCAAGCGCGAAGGTGCCCTTGTTTCCCATGACCACGGGAGTTCTGGGCAGAGAGAGAGAGAGAGAAGTTCAACGCAATTGTCACAAGGACAGCGGATGAGGTCCGTAACAGACCAGGCAGATCAGCAATGAGGTGTCCATGGACTAGGGTTAAATTCTACTGACCAAGTGGGAGGGACTCCAAGGTACACAAGGAGTTTTGAGCACGTCATAACAGGCAGTGCAGCGTTGCGGTGATTGGCCCAGGTTTGCAATGTGATGCCACCTGAGCATCGAGCATTAACCCTGCTCCTGAGCTGCAGATTACCGAAGCTGGATATTCACCCCGGGACAAGCAGCATGCCAACCCTTAGGCCTGCTTGATGGTCTCTATCAGGTGTCAAAATTTACCCTGCACTTGGAGGCAAACCAGCATAGACTTTGCCATGTTGTCTTGTGGCCATGGCTGTGTGGCATCTGGTGTAGGGTCACTTTACGTGATGCTTTTTGGGAATATTGGGGAATCCCCTTTAAAGTGATCAAGAAGTCATGGGATGGAATCCCGCCTTGGCATCGTCAGGCATCCATTTTCCACAGGGATTTGAAACTCATAATGGTGGACCCCCCCCCAAAAAAAAAGGAAGCAGACGAAGTAGAAGAAGAAGAAGAGGAAAGTTGATTGAGTCAAAACCACTCAAGACCGACATGAAGGCCCCTTGAGCACCGAGGTCGCAGCTCAGAATCCTCGCCAACATGCTACGCCGCTCGGCTCGGGCCGCCACCAACCTCTGGGCAACATTTTGGTCGGTTCCTATTGGGCAGGTCCGGTAAAGCTGTAGGCACAGGTGTCCTTTGGAGAGAATGGGCCTGGTAGATGAAACAACCAGATCAGCTATGGCCACTGTGTGTTAGAGGTAAGCCTGTCCCAAACGAAGTAGCAAAGGCACCCCATGGAGGGTTACAACCTCATCTTCCTTGGGCTCTCTTGTTTCAGTTGATCGAATCGGTACAAGCTACCCGGATGGCCAAGCATCGGAAAACCAACCCATTTCGAAGAGCCTAGGCCCAAGCCTATCGCCGATTCAGATCTGTTTGCACGGGATACAGATCCTTTAGCCTAAGGTGAACCCCTGGTTGGTCATTCAAGCATGGAAGGCTTTGGTTTCGGGGTAATCATTTACGCATGTATCCCAAAGGACATTTAGGTGGCTTCCATTGCTGAAAAGAACATGTGGTATTTTCCCCTGTTGGTTTTAAAGGGAATCTATCACTACTGGAAATATGTGTATTTTTCTTTCCAGGAAACTTAAGCAAATGGAAGGTGTCTAGGTGTCTAGGCCATGAACTCAAAGCTATCACTACTGGACATATATGGGAATATGTTTTTTTGTTTTTTTCCCAGGCTGGGCTTCAGCAAATCTAGGTGAGGCCCTGAGCGCCTGAGGCAGGCGCTTTGTGGAGTATGGTGGGCGCCCGGCGTGGCACCGGGCCAGCTCCCGGGACCTTTGGAGCAAAGACAAGGCTCGAGGGGCGGTGCTCAAGAGGAAATTGAGTATATTTTTGGGGACCCCAGCCATGAATGGAGGTGGATCCTACCCATGTAAATAACGGGCACACTGCATGGTGCATGCACCAAGTCCTGCCTCCTAGGTTGACTCAAGTCACGTGCCTTGCAGCATGTGTTGGATCGGAGCGCATCGCGTGGTTTTTGTTTGTTGGAGTGAGTGGGGACATGATCGGTTTTCATCCCGTGGTTTTTGCATTCCGTTCCTTGGGTTGTCAAGTCTACCGAGTGATACAAACAGGAGGCTAGTGTTAGAAAAAAGGTGTCCAAAAGGTGTCGATGAAATTGCAATCGCCTCCTTCTGGAGGTCGAGCAGAACAGGGCTTCTGAAATTCATCCAAAGTCCACATGAGGGCCACTCAATAATTGAAGCAGGTTATTAGCCATGGTTTGCCTCAGGACCAGGGTGAGAACCCTAAAATGTATACCTTGCACATCCAAGGGAGGCTGCAGGGGGCCTGCGCTTCTTTCTTTTTTCCCCCCGGTAGGAGATCCACGTCTTGCGGGACATCCTTCCTGCGAACTGCTCCTTCTCTGAGTGCCGAGCTGAGTTCGGACTGGGGCTGGTCATTCAAGGACAACCATTAGAAGGCTGGACGAGATTGAACCAAGTGAAGGTCATGGCATCTTCAACCCAGTGGAGGGATTCAAAGAACCACTGTAAGGGTCCCCGTTGAATCTGTTGAAGCCATAGCCTGATCCCATGAGAGCGTCTTAAGGACCAAAATGGACCCTGGCTGAACCCGTCAATCCCAAAATACGTCCATGCACATGCTCTCAGGTGCTTTCAGACGCAGCGACAGCTGCCTGATACCTACGTCATATGCCCTGAGGAGAAGTTGCCTCTGGCTCACCACGCCAACCCATTCAAAGGGTCGAGCTATTCACTTGACTGCTTTTTTTTGTGATATCAAGGGGTTTCCACTAAACCCCCCCAAAAGTTAAACTTTTTGCAGGAGGTCAACAGCAACCAAGTTCAACTCCCTAACTGGTGCATCACGAAGACAGCCAGGACGTGAAGCTGGTGGCGCTGTTTAACGCCATCGAGCGCCACGCCGAGGATGGGAATTGATTTGATTGCTCGAATTGTTCGTTCACTGTGCAGAGAAAGGTCTAGGCTTGAACAGGAACAAGTTCGGAACAAGCAGTCCTTTCTCGGGGGGGGGAAGAAAGGATTAGCAGCTTCCGAGGGTTTGGATCGGTGGTTTGGTTCTCGGAGGGGGGGGTTATCCTCTGGAATGATGAAGGGTAAGTAGTAGAAGCCACGACCACAAATACGCATGAATGGGCGCCTGCTTGGTTATTTGCATGGTTCCTCTGGTTCGGGGTAGGCCTTTCACACCAGACTTTGATTGTGACTCAATGCGGCAAAGTAGGCACGACTTTCCGTGTCATTACTTTCCTGTTGGTGGTCCCTTGCTTCTCCACCCGCCCAAATGAAGCCCAAATGAAGCTCATCCCAATTCTTAGCTCCTGGAATTTGGGGATGTCGCGGAAACTTGACTTATGGTTGGAGCTTCCGGGCCTTCGGTTGGCCAACTTGTCCCGGCAGGCGCATCTTTTGCCGGAGAAGACCACCTACTACGTGGATTCCTTGTGTAGAAGGCAGGGGCCCCGAAAAACATCTTGACTCTCTTTTTTGCTTCCTCAACTGTTGGGAAATCAGCACGTAGAAACCCTTCTTGAAAGGGTGCCGGATTTGACTTACACATGGCATGCTCACAAATGTGTAGCTGGATGAGTTGTACGTGCACTCGGCGTTCATTCTTTCGTGAACGGAGGGGGCATGGATGGATAGGTGGATGGGTTGATGGGTGGATGGGTGGATGGACGGACGGATGGATGGATGGGCGGGGGATTGGCTGGGGATTGGCTGGGGATTGGCTGGGGATTGGCTGGGGATTGGCAGGGGATTGGCAGGGATGGGATGGGGGGCTTGGTGGGGCGGATGGGTGGACGGGCGGATGAGCGGATGGGTGGATGGGCGGATGGATGGAATGGCCGGATGGGCTGGGGACGGAATGCTGATTTGCAATTCTCAACTTCGGCTAGAACTGTCCTACACGCTGTATTTCAACTTCGGAGCCTTCAGATGTTTCAATAGGTTGCCTGGTCGGGCTGATTACGCGCGCCGCTGTCTGACTGAAATGCACCCTCTTGGTCTCTGCGGGGGTGCCCAACTGACCCACAATCAAAACCCGGTTAGATGAAGGTTAGTAAGGGACAAAAGCAGGTGCGGCCTTCTTTTTCTTTCTTTGGTCTCCTTACATGGTTCTGGGCAGACCATTATAATACCGGGTTTTGATTGTGACTCATTTTGGTCGCAGGGGAGTCTTTCTGCCACCTTTCATGAGAAATTGGCGACCCCCTCAAGAAGGAATCCTTCACTACAAGGGGGTCGATCATTTTTCTGCAAAAGGTGGCAAAAGGACCCCCTGTTTGGTCCCCTGTCGCGCTCTGGATGGATCCATTCTCATTCATGGGATGAGCTTTGGAAGGCGCGGAGAGCTCGAGAAGAGCGCGCATGAGTCTGCGGAGAAGACCCAGCGGCTGTTGTCCAACACTGGGAGGGGCGTCCTGTGCGGAGCTTAGATCAGTCCCATGTTCCGGGGTAAGGTTCCAGTCTTGGGTGTTGAGTTTGTTTGTTTTAATCATTATCATTATTATGTTTAATTATCATTATTATTATTATTAGTATTATTATTATTATTAGTATTATTATTATTATTATTATTATTATTATTATTATTATTATTATTATTATTATTATGTTTATGTTTATGTTTTAATTATCATTAGTATTATTATTAGTATTATTATTATTATTATTATTATTATTATTATTATTATTAGTATTATTATTATTATTATTATTATTATTATTATTATTAGTATTATTATTATTATTATTATTATTAGTTTTTTTATTATTATTATTATTAGTATTATTATTATTATTATTATTATTATTATTATTATTATTATTATTATTATTATTATTATTATTATTATTATTTATTATTATTATTATTATTATTGTTATGGTTATTATTATTATTATCATTATTAGTGTTAGTGTTATTGTTATTATTATTACTATTATTATTATTACTATTATTATTATTATTAATATTATTATTACTATTATCATTGGTATTTGTTATTGTTATGAATATTAGTATTATTATAGGTTGAATGATGAGAGTTTTCTCAGCTAAGCTTTCGACTGAAAGTGTTCAAGGTGTCACAAGCAATGTCGTGCCACTACCTCCGGTGGCCACTGCCGAACACTTGGTGAATAGAAGCTGGTTGGTGCCTGTCTGCTCCTTTTTCTTCTGAACTAGCCAACAAGCGGTCCCTGTTTTTACCCCCAGACTCTGCGGTTCGCGCGGTATCAGTTTGAGCCCGCAGAGGCTCGAGTTGGTTGGATTAGTATTTGCTTCTTGGAGGCTTTGGGGTTTCAGGGCTTGGGGTTTCAGGGCTTACGTAGAGTTTGGGCTAAGGGTTCTCTATGAGGATTGGTGCTCAAAAATACAGAAGGCGGGCCCGGGGCGTTGCTTGGGATTTTATGTTGAACACACCAGCGATTTGGGGCAAGTCGAAACCAAAGTGATCTCGGCCAGATTGCTTGGCAACTCCTCTGGTGAGAATTGACCCGACTGTTCCTCCATGTTTCTTGGGTTCCGGAACACGACATCGAGCGCCACCAGTTGCTGAATTAAGCTGAGGCTGATTCTGGATCAGCCCACAAGCCTCACCTGGCGGCAGAACGTCGCTAGCTTGTGCCCTTGGACGCATGCAGCCTGTTTCAGGTTGATGGGTCCTACGACTGGTTGGGGATATTTCAGGTTGATGGGTCCCAGTGAGGTCCCGACTCGGGATAGAATGCTAGAATCTGGTTGGAGGTCAATGGCTGGTGGTTGGACCCCTCGCCGCGTGCAGTCAGTCTGGTTTTGTTGTTTCCACGTTTCCACATGCAGTCTCGCCCAGAAAAGATGGCAACGTTGGCAAGAGAAGGCCTTCATTTTCACTGGTTTCACCAAGCGACTCAGGTGGTGCCTGTATGAGCTTTTCTTCGCTGACAGACAAGCCTCTCGGCTGTCAATGTACAGGACTAGGTCCCCCAGTTTTTGGGGAGGTTCCCCTACTAAAATAGACTACAGAAAAAAGGGTACCCTTACCCTATCCTCTGTACTGGAGGACCTAGAGGATTCGTGCTTTGAGAAGCATTCAACGCGCTTCGAGCATGATGCCCAACAATATTCTAACTCCTGAAACCGACCAAGTCATTCAGGCGGTCTTTTGACGCATGGCACATGCCTAGGGCCTACTCTGGGACATCGCTTGCGGGGAGGGCATCATCGCCATGCGCGCCCCGCTGTCCACCAAGCGCTGGATCTTTGGACAGTTCGATTCGGCAATCGCCTGGAACTTGTCCCGGATACGCGTGAAAGCGGACAAGGCTCGACGGAGCAATTCAAATTGGTCTGGGCTTAAAGTCAAACCTTCAGATCCTTATGCCAGATGGTGATGTTCATGTGGTGTCCCACGCATTTTCATGGGAGCCCCAGTTTGAACAAGTTGGTTACTGTTGGCTCCTTTTTCTTCCTTTTTGGGAGACGGGGTGTGCCTGGAAAGTCTATCAACATAAAAGGGTGCTCCTTTCTTGGTCGGATGGGTTGAACAACCAGACCCTGGAAGTGGACAAGGGAAGCAAAAAGGCGGCGACTTTCATCGCTAAGCAGTGGCGACTTGGGCGACTTGGGGCGTTCTTGAGCAACCCTGGAAGGCCAGATGCACGGTGGCGGAGGAGAAAGACATCCTCCTGTCAAAACTGCGGCCTGGCCAGTTCAAAGTCCTGAGGAACCACCTGCTTTCACCAAGGCTCCAAAACCGGTTTCACTTTGAGGTAGTTGAAGTGTTGGGAGTACTCCTGAGCCAGAAGCTGAGGAAGTTAATAGGATTTGACTTCTACCTTCATTTTGTTTGCTGTCTTGCGGTGTTTTCTTGGCAGACATCAATCTTTGGGGGTTGGGATGATGACACAGCCTCGGGACCGGGAGTCCGAATTCCCCAGAAGCCCGAAGGGGGGCAGCGATTGTGTGACACCAAGTGGTCGAATTGGGTGCTCTGTTTTTTGGAGTTGGTACCTTATGCTGTGTGGTTTTGCGTAAAGGGAACGGCCCATTTTGGGAACCAAGAAAGAGGCATACCCAATTAGAGGTTTCCCCAGCTCACATTTCACCCTGTGCTGCATCAGCGAAGATCTGTAAGGATGGAATTTGGCCAGAACTGCATCCGCGAATTCGAGCACAACATGACGGCGAAGGCTTGCCATTGAGAGCGAAAGTGTCGACTTTCGGGTGGGGCAGATCCAACTGGCCGCCTGGCCCCATGGGAAAGTGCCATTCTCAGATCACCCAGGTGGCTAACCAAGGAGTTTGAAGCTGTGTAATTCGACACAAAGTGGTGGGCCCTATGAGAGGAAGGCCTGGTTTTTTATAGGCTGCTTAGAAGCGCAAGTGGCCGTCACGGGATGTTTACGTGTCTCATAGCCCACCGCCCACTAGCACGCACGAGCTAACACTTCCACCTTCCACACGATTGAATGGGGATGCGGGGATGGTTCTACGTAGGCACCGCCTCTGATTTGGACATCTAGCGGAACCCAAGGCCCCCGACTTTGTGAGACATGTCAAACGGGTATGAGTTTTTGTTTCGGGAAGGTCAAAAGTGGCTGGACATGAATCCCCGCTTAAATTCCGATTGTACCCTACCAAACCCTAGGTTCATGCCCAAGCCAATTTCTACCCTACCCGCGAGCCGTTCTCGCGAGGTACCCTCCAGAATGCTGGGGCCGGTACTGCGCCAGGCAGAGCGATGAATCGGTCCCCACGCCCCCCCTGTGTTTGACACAAGGGCTGCAATGGCAACGCAGCCCGCGAAAACAGAGATGAGACGACCACAAAACCCACCCAATACGCAGAAGGCTCAGAAGGCTTCCCAAGTCAAACCATGGAGTTTCTCACCTGGGGAGTATCAGCCCGACTTTCTGGCGTCCAAGTTTGGTCCCCTTTGAGAATGGGCCATGCCTTTTGGGGCTTCGGTTGATTAGACACTCAAGTAAACTAACCACAATACGCGGCGAACTATGGAGTTGTTTCTTGCTACGAAAGCCAGCTTTAGCTGTCTGACACCAAGGACGAAGAAGCAGAAGAAGCATGACCGTTCCATGTCCCAAATCAGTGCTTGAATAACGTGTATTTGTGTCATTTGGTCGATTTGTTTCCCCTTGGCACAACTTTGGGCTACCAATGCTGCTCAAGGGGTGCAAAATCTGCCTCGAAGTCGACAGAATGCGGGCCTCCAAACATGGCAAAATGAGTTTCAACAAGGCTCCTGACGAGTGATGTCCCTCCCCAAAACCGCTCCCGCAGCCCAACATGTCGAATTGCGAAGCGTAAATTGTGGAAAGGGGGGGGGTTGGGGGGAATTACAGTATTGTAACTTCAATTCAAGCTTGGTTGATGTGTCAAACGCAAAGCCATGAGAGCATACGAGATCCACCGTTTGGGGGAACAGATGTTTTGGTTGGGCCGCTTTGGCTGGGCATGAAGCCTTTTGTTCCACTTTTTTGATTCAGGGATCCTTCGTTTCCGAACGTGGTAACGCCCACCCACGTGTTTTGAGTGGCCTCGGGAAAGAACAACCTTTGAATGAATTTGCTTTGGAACCCCCCGGACAAATACTTGGAACCGGCACCCAAACAGCTGTTGAATGTTGAGAAAGCCGACTCCACAGTTGCCTTCAATGTTCCCTTCCCCCTGTGGTTTTAAACAACAACTGTTGCAGTTGAAATGGCCACTGTTGAGCGAGCTTCTTTCTGGCGGGGTGATGTTTGAAGGTTCGGGAACCCTGTTCAAAGGGTGTCCAAAGGTCGGGAACTCTCTTGTTTCTGAATTTGCCTTTGGTGTTCTGTGCATCTTTCGGAACTCTGCGGCACGAAAAGCCAAGCCACAAATATGAGGAAGCAAGCTTTACAGATTGGTTTTCTTTAGACTCAAGGAGCAACAGCTGAAACGTATCAACACAAGCCAAGCACATTTGACGGCCAGCACAACGCCTACCGTCCCTCAGAGGCCGCGTGCATGCGGAGCGACGAGGACTTCCGGCGGCTGCGGGGCGCCTGCGACATCATGGCCAAGCTGCGCTGCGCGGGACCAAAGGTCGCGTCGGAGCGCGTGGCCGTGGTGGTCAAAACCGATGGACCAATGGGATCCCGTTTTGGGATAGGTGAATTCACCACCCATTTGAGGACCTATTTTAGTGGGGATTGGTTGATGTTCACCAGGGGGTACGATTTGGCTTTTGACCCATGGCCATGTGTGTGTGTGTGTGTGTGTGCAGAGGAGTCTTTTTTGGGTTAGTTTGATTGCGCTGGTTTAGATTAGTTTTATTCCATTTGCCAGGGTTTTATATTATTCCAAAAAGAGTGTGTGTGTGTGTGCACATGCGTGTGTGTTTCTCGGCTCGACGAAAAAATGGGGCTGTCTTTTTTTCAGGGGCTCACTCCCTGAGCTCCTTTTTGGGAAGACCATACTGGTGGAAAACACCAAGTTCAGACTTGTTTGGCCCCACTCAGGAAGTGAGGAACCTCCCCCCAAAACAAAGTAGCGGTTCTCCTTTTGGTTTCCCTTGTATCGCCCGGAAAAAGAAACAAATGGAACCGAACCACCCAAACCCCACAGCAACTAGGTGGGGAGTAGTTTGGGGGGTTAATGGGGATGGAGTTTTCTTTTAAGGGAACACTCCTTTGGTTGGTTTTGAAGGGAAGCCAAAGGGAAGCCACAAATTTTGGGGTTCCTCTATTTGGAGACGAGCAGAAGCCCCATGTTTCTATGCGCGGCAGCGCTGACAAACTGACAAGCTGTCAAGACATCCTTCTGAATCCCAACACCAGCGAGCTTGAAACCGCCCTGCCGTCGCCTCGAGGTACAAGCGACAACTGAACCCCTCCGGTTTTAGCTTAAGGCACCAAGAAATTGCAACCAGAGATGCCGCTGCGACAGTGTGTGCTGGCAGGTGTGTCATCTATGGCCTCCGATGAGTGTGGGGCACTTTCCTTCGTGCAGAGGCAGTCAATTGCAATATCGAGACCCTGGGAGAGCCAGGTTTATTGGGTTGGCGCACATCACAAGGCAGGGAGCCACCTGCTGCGGAACCTCATGCGCCGCGCATTTGACGGGCTGGGTGCAAACTACAGCTGCCGTGTGCGCGGCATGCGGGATAGCATCATTACGACGGAGGGAGGCGACCACTACTGCTCAGATGTCCCTGACTGCCACATCATGTGGGACAATAGTGCTCGAGAGGAGAGCGTTGAGGAGGCAATGACAAGGGGCAATGGCTCCGCGCGTGGCGTGCACATCGTGCGTAACCCTTGGGACATGCTTGCCTCTGACTACTGCTATCATCATCGAGGAGAGGAGCCCGCTAGCAAAGGGAGTCACTACCCGGAGATACTGTCGATGGGGCCCCTTGAGGGCATGATGACGATCTGGCCAGATATGTCAATCATCATGGACAGAATGGCGACGATCTTCGCGCTGAGCGGCATGAACAATGTCCGATATGAGAAGCTCACAGAATCATCGGCAAGTTTTGACCAGCAGGTCAACGGCCTTTTCCGAAACCTGTTTGGAGGCCTCATCTCCCGAAAGGAGCACGAGAAGATTGCAGAGGCGGTCACGGCCGAAGATCTCAACAGACAGATCGCACAGGGGACAATCACCGAAGCGGGCCACACCAACTCCGATGAATGCATGGAAGCAGCTCTGCGAGCACAGCAGTCCTTAGACCCCAGCGTGAAGGCCCACTTGAGAAACCTCCAAGTGAGGCTGGGCTACTGAAGAGCGGGCAGTTTGAAGCTGCTCAAGATGTGCATTTTCCTGTCCGCAGGCTTAAAACTCAGGCCTTGTGTTGTGGGTAAAGGAACTAAGAATAGCCGAAGCAAGAAAAGAGCCGCGGCATTCAGACAATGCGGATGAGTCAGAAGAGTAGCCAGGTTTAAGTATATGATAAGCAGGTACGCGCGTTTGAATGGACACAGAGCCAGTTTCCTGTAGTTTGTGAGTCTATATCATTTTTTTCAATTTTGGGTCTGTTGGAGAGGCTCTAGAGAAGTGGACAGAGGGATCATTCATCTCTTCGCACCCATCTCAGTGGTTGTCATGAGTTCAGAGAAAAGTATTTGAAGACAGTGTTATATTCTCTTCACACTGGTCTTGCGCTTATTGAATTTGTCAAGCCGAACGTACACCTGGCAGGAGATATTTGACTATATTTTGTCTAGTTACAACAAACTGTTTCCTTGATGTATAATAGACTATTTATTGAGCGAAATAACGGAGCCTTAGGGCAGAACTGACTCAACCATCCCGGCTTTTGCTGCCTAGTGTTTGCTTCAGTTTTTGCAGCGGTCTGCTCCGGCTGCGTTGCTGGACATGTCTCGCCGGAAGTCACGCCGAAGCGGTCACTGAAGATGGCTGCGGATCTCCGAAACGTCGTGTTTTCTGCTCGCCTCTCTTGATGGAAACGGGACAAGTCCGTTTCTTTTCCATACAGCTGCCAACAGCACTGCATTCGGAATAATTAGACCCCAACTCCCCGTAACCTGCATACAACTCCTGTGTGAGCTGCAAAACGCAGCAGTAGAAACGACTTGGGCTCCCTCAAGTGGCTCTTTCAACTTGCCCCTTAAACCGAAACCGAAACAAGGGCAGGGAGGAAACCAAGCGCCTCTCTTGCAGGAAATGCTGGGCGAGGATGGCTCTAAATCGGCCAATTCGGACGGGCGTTTGCGTCCTGAGGCAGTGGGGCACACATCAACTTGGCCAGCCTGGAGGGTGGCTTTGGTGAGTCTGTCCGCGTCCCAGACAATAATGCTGAAACTGTTCCTTGGTTTTCATCGTTACCTTTTCGGTCAACTCAAAAGGAATGTCCTTCCAGTTGGATGAGGAGAAGAGCCATGGCACGCAATGAAATTCTGAAACGGAGAGAGGTATAGCAATGGAGAGAGCCAAACAGACGGCGGCTTTTCACTCAAGTTGTTGGGGGCCCTGGGAACAAGGAAAGTGCGGCCAATTGAACCAGCCCCATTTCGGGGGCGCTTTGGCTCGCGGTGTTTGGTCTGACTGACAGCGCATTCGGAGCCTCCCGCCAAACCTGTGAAAAAGTGGGGAGATTGTGCGCTTGCCCAGAGAGGTGAGCTGGGAGCTGCTACTTGCTGAGCCGACAGCTTTTCGCAGATGTTTTGGAGGCACCGCTGGATCCACTGGATCCGGCAAAGAGGATACACGGGTACAGTAATGCAGGCATATGATTCATACCCCCCCCTCCCTCTCCCCCCTCCTCAAGGTCGTTTCACGGCCCCCCACCTGGCCAGTCCTCTCTGGTCCTTTGTCTGGCCAATGCGATTGCAATAGGAAAGTAAAAGGAAATCTACTTTTTATTTTCCAGGGCTGGAGAGGGCCAGGATGAATCATCTTTACGAGCTTGCCGAATCTTGTTGTTTTTCCTTTACACATTGTACAATTTGCTGGCAAAAGTCTGGTCATTAGCTTTCGCAAATTACAAATTTGTTTTTGGCATTTTGGGATTTTGGGCCGGAAGGGATGTCTTTAATCGGAGGGGGTTCTAGGAGGTGCCGAGAAATTATTCAGAGGGGTCTTTTGGCCAAACCTTGTGTGTACCCTTGAAGTAGTATTGGCTGGAAGTCGGCTGGAAGAATCCAGAGTCTTTAATCCGAAGGGGTGTATCAATCATGTGCCGACAGTACCCTCCCAAGAGTAAATGGTCCACCCCAGGCACTTTGCAGGTTCCGTAGGGTGGACTCAACGTGTTCCCATCGATGCCGCCTGAGGCCTTGCACATTGCCTCTGCAGCAGCAGTGGCCGGGAGACCCAAACGCAGAGTGTCATCGATCCTGCCCGTTGGCTTGTCCAGTTCCACATTCAGGAAGGTTGGCGCGGGTTCTTGCGCAAACCTGCTGTGACCTGACCTGCCAATGTTGAGATCAGGTGCGTCAGATCCTTCCATTACCCAGTTGCACTCAAAGCCAAGCCTTTCGAGCGTAAGCTCAAGCCCAAGTCTGGGGAACTGGAGGGGGTACCTTCACAACGCTTGGTTCTTTGCTTGCATGGGCCATGGTCAGAAGACCCGCTTTAGGGGGAAGTGGCCCGAGTGGTTCGGACTCTGTCGGTCTCCAATGGCTGCTCGCCGCTGTTTTGGAATATCGAGGGACGCCAAGGAAACTCTTGAATAAGGTGGAGGTAGCTAGTTTTCTTTGTATGTTGTTTGGTGAGCAAAGGTGACACAAACAACAGAATATACATTGAATACACTAATATATATATATATATGTATATATATATATACCTTGTATGCACCATATACGTTGTATATATGAATACATTGGACATCCATCCATCCATCCATCCATCCATACATACATACATACATACAGACCTACATGTGCTTAAGAACGACAACATGTGTGACTACCTATGTGTGAAGCTGCATCACAGGACCTCACTTATTGTGTAGCACCTCACGTCGAGGATGGCAACGCACAGTGCGCCCGGGCCGTGGAGATGCTCGTCCGCCGGGGCCCCTGGACTGGCGTTTCGAGCTCAAAGCGATTCATATGGCCGGGGCCGCAAAAACGTGGGTGGGTTACCTTCAAATTAAGCCACCCAGAAGCACGGGGTTTATATAAACTAACCCAGAAACACGGTTGCCCCCCCCCAAAAAAAAAAAGCACAAGAAAAAGGGATTCCACCCCATGGACCCCCAACCCATGATTCCTTATTCCAGGTTTTGCACTTTTTAGCATGTGATAATTCAATACCCTCGCAACAAGCAAGCAGAGGATTTGAAAAGCAAACCCTGGCACCCATATCCCCCCAACAAAATATATAGTGTGTATATAGGGAGAATGGAGAGTGGGGGAATTGCAAGGAGGATGCCCTTCCAAATTCAATCATGTAAAAATGTGGGTACAAGGGAACGGATGCACGCAATTCCACTTCCACTTTGCGCCGGTGATTGGGCACCTCGTTGCTGGAGGTTGCCTCCGGGCTCTAATTTTGGGATGGTGATTTGGGTGTGGGTCAAAACCCAAATCGGTTAGCCCCCAGTGAACATCCGATTCAATCAAACCACTAAAATAGGTTCTGAAATGGGTGGTGAATTCACCTACCCCAAAATGGGATCCCCATTGGTGTTGACCAACGGCCATTTGGGAGAATTCGTCCGCCCTTGTCCTGGTGCCTTCTGTTTGGAAGGCATAAAACAAGAAGCGACAAGCAAGAGGGGTCAAGTCAACAGATTCAGCTGGACAAGGAGGGCCCCCATACAACGCCGGGCTTTCCTTTATCCCTGGAAGAGGGGGTTCTACACGATGCCCCAGATGAAAATCAAGTGCAAGCGGTTCGTGCAGCGATTGGGAGACGTGTTGGGAACCAAAGATGGATCATTGGGGAGCTCCAGGGAAGACAACCGGATGTCCAAAGGGGTGTCCAAAACCAAACTGAAATCTCACTCATTCAAACAGTTCAATCTGAGCCAAACTGATTGAACCTGTTCAAGCTGTTGGTTGTTTTGGTGGGGACCGAAATCAAGATGGTTCAAGCCCTGGGTTGAACCAAACTTTTGATCAACCTAGTGGCCCTCCCATGTAATCTGGCTGTTCGAAGAACATGTTCCTCGGACCCCTCGGTGAGGTTGCATGCTGGACGGAATGGCGAGCAATTGTTGTGTTGTTAATTGCTGTTGAAGCTTTCAGGGAGCAGTATCAAATTCAGGGGCCTTCCAATTGTTTGTATTCTAGGATTATTCCCCCCTTCTGTTTGCTATTTTGTCATAAGGCAACGCTACTCGGACCATTTCTTTACCACGGTGCACGGGGTGCGTAAATATTACCTCTCTAAAGATCCAGCATGTCACCGGCGTTTCAAGCGCTTTGCCATGGTGCACCGTGTGGCCCAAGTCAACTGGCGAGCTCTGAGGTATGGGCATGGATGTGAATGCGCAGGACGATGTTGGTGAGACTCCACTGCACTGGGCGGCCATGTCAGGCCGGGGATGCTGTGGCTCGAGTAAAGACTCACCACACACCTCAGGCAGCTAGCAAACTTGGGGTAGATGAAGGTTGAGGATAGTCCCTCCATAGGTGCGGATATCCACCCTGTTGATTCTTCATGTGAGTTTGGATAGACTCATATGTGGTTCTGAAAACGGTTTCCGGGGCCAGCTTTTGTGATCAAGGGAATCCCCGTTTCTACGACAACGTCGAAGGAACGGGCATCTACCATTATGGTATCACAGAAAGGCGGCCATTTCCCACGCCCCTGCACTCATTCGTGTTGGGAAGGGCAAAGCTGGCCCGTGCCGGGCAGCAACCATTGTGAACCAATAAGTTAGGGGGTTCATGGGTTCATACCAGAATTACCGGCGAGAGTAAGGAGCAAATGTCGTGCGCTCCTCAGCTGTTGCCTCAGTTTTTTCCCCGGAAACTAGGTTTTTTGGTTTGCTCCCCTGCGAAACATACACGGAACCCAACAGGGGGGGTCCATGAACTCGTCTCATGGGGCCTTCCTCCAGGCGACATTTTTCGCCAGGCCGCGCCTGGGCCACCGGATTCCTGCTGCGAAATGGGTCTGATCCCTTGCTTGCGAGCTGGTCAGGCCTGGGACTTGGCAGGCATGTCAGAATCATTGCCTGGCTTCCGTTTGCTGAAGAATATGTGTTGTTTCCCCCTGTTGGGTTTAAAGGGAATCTATCACTACTGGAAATATGTGTGTTTTCCAGGCGAAAAAGCAAATGGATGCTGGCCCTCCTTTGGTACTTTTTGGTCCACTAAAACCCGTCAGAGGGTCGCTTTTGAGAAGGAGAATCAGCTTTCAGCACCCTCAAGTTAGTGGACAGGAGGGTAGGTGGTGATGGTTTCACTCGGGCGATGTTGACAGGGCCCCCTGCTTAGTTATGATTCCTTCGTTCAGAGGCCCTCACCTGCCGGTGGCTTTCAGAAAAGCCAACAGAACAGGGCTCGTCGTGCTCATCATCGCACCATCGCATACTGGAGTGGATAACCGTTTCGAAGTAGCCGCAAAACTGCGGCTGCTGACCTCTGTTCCGTGGAGCACCTGGTTGCTCTCCGTGATACAATATATCAATGTGGTTGGCGTTGGTTTGAAAAGGGAGTCTTAAAGAAAACCCACCGCATTTTGTAAGGCACAAAGCCATAATATGGCTTCCCGGCCGAGTCCCTTCGCCGCATGCCAGGCTTTCGGCCCTTCGATGTGTGCTGCACCGGGCGGGGATCGAGTTTCTTGAGGGATCCGCTCGCCGATCGTGGAGGTTGCCGGCGAAAGTTGTCTCAGAGAGGCGTTACTAGGTTGGGCAACCTGAGTTCAGGCAACTCTGGGCTGGTGGTTGGAGCGGTGGTTGGGGATTTGCACCCCTGGTTCTGAACCCCAATTGGAAGGAAGCTGAGAGTTGGTAGAGCAACACCTGGGTGAGTTCGTACACCGGAAAACAAAAAAATAAGCTCAGGTAATATCCCCAACAGCATGCGGTTTTCTTTTTTGTGCTCGCACCACCCCGCAGCCCTCGCAGAAGTGGAACCCTCATGGAACCCTCGTGGAACCCTCGTGGACCCTTACCCCAGGGCCGCCCCGGACCGAGCCTATCTGGGCTGAGACCCCAAAGCTTTCAGCTGGGGAAGAACAAACACCGGCGGTCTCCTCCAAACAGGAGGATCGATCCCTGCTGTCTCCTCCAGGAGATCGATCCCTTCTCTCAGCCCGCTGCCTTGTACACATGTTGAATAACTTGCGGTATAGTGTAAACTTGACTACAAGTTGCCGTGGTACATCGCCCAAGCAAATCCCTCAGTGACGCAATGAGGGGGAGTGCATTATTATGGAGACATTTAGATACTCAGAGGCCCATGAGCACCCGCTTGGAATGACAGTGCATGAAACATGTGCTCACATCATTTGGCTCAAGGAAAAGAATCGCACCATCTCGCGCTTTGTTTGCCCCCGGGATAAGGTTAAGGGAGAGGTCGCAGCCACGAAGGGTTTCAGTAAGACTATATAAGGTCCCAGTTTCCCCCTTCTTTGTGGTGCCTGTGTTTCCCTCTCCTTTGAGTTTTGTCCAATTTGTTTGTCTGTTTGTTTGTTTGTTTGTTTGTTTGTTTGTTTGTTGGACAGACGAGTTGGCCAACGTATGAAACATAATCTAGGCAAGCCAAGCCTGCAATCGGTAGAACAAACTGGATAGCATTGGTCGCAAAGTTGGGTATCTACTCACTTGCCAAACGCCGACCCGTTCGACCTTTTGTGTCTTCTAGTTTGGTCTCCTTTGAGTCAAGGTCCCAAAAGTGTGAGAACCCTTTTAGTGAGATTCCTGGGGTCCCGAAGTGCGCCTGACTTTTTAACTTGTTGCAACGTGTTGCACCACGCGGAGCGCCAGGCCAGCAGCTTTCTTGGGGGTGGACTCATCGACGCTCGGCAGATGGGACGAATCCGAGGTCTGTGGAAAACGAATCGAAGTCCTAAAGTTGGAGCAAGGCAGAGGTCTACATCCATAAATTCCATTGTTGCTAGATATCTTCATTTGTGCGTTCCATTTTCCTGGAGATCTCCATTTATAAGTTTCTTCCATTTTTCTCTTCAGATTTCCATGATTAGTTCCATTTTCCCTGGAGATCTCCATTTATAAGTTCCTGCAATGTTCTGTAGAGATCTCCATGATCAGCTCCATTTTCCCTTGAGATCTGCATATTCGGTTCCATTGTCCTTAGAGATTTCCAATTTCACGATTGTACATCAGCAAACAAACACATAACATGTTGATGGTTCTGTTGTGTAGTGAGGGGGCGCAGCTCCCATCACGGTTGCTCGTTGCCTGTGTTTTTTCCGCCCAGGAGAGTGTACGAGATCCTCAAGGGGTGGACGCAGGCTGGTAGTGCATGAGTTTCGGATTGTCTGATGGCACCTGTGCCAATCCTTGCACCTGTGAAGGTTGAGGAGGCTTTTCGTTCAAGGTTTAAGCAATTGGATGTTTCCTCCAAGGACAGTTTTGAGCTTGTCGTTGCAGGAAACAAGACGCACCCGCCCATGCGTGGTGTCCAACCGATGTTAGGAAACACCCCCCAAAACATTGTTGCGGGAAAGGCGGTTTTGCCATCTCCTGTACTGCCAATCCAATCCCCAATCTCAACATGGTCCACAGAAAGAGTCATGTTCGGCCATGCAACTGAGCCACAATACTCTGGAGCAAATGGGAGGCAAAAGATTCCCTGAAGTTGAGACAAGCTCACTTGGGGCCAAACCGAGTTCACCCAAGGCGAAGGTGTTGCCCGGGCATTCTAAGCTATTGGCTGTCATTCTGTTATAGGCGTCAGCTGGGTTTGGGGTCCCCGCTGCGCATTTGACTACGTGGCCCCTTAAGGCTTACTGCAATGCCAGGCTACCGTGACTGCCGGCCGAGCAGCCTATGCGTTTGATGATGAGGACACGCGAAGCCGGTGTAGCTGCGGGGGTTGCCTTTCGCTCCTTCTGAAGATATAAGGATCCTCGAAAAGTAGACACCTTGACATTGAGAGATCCATTCACTTTTCCAAGGCGGGTGAAAAGGCAAATCAATTGGTTTGGAAACACCAAAACACTTTGATTTTGGCCAACTTCAGGCGCTCAAGGGACCCCCTCAACAGGGCCCCTCAACGTGTTCGGTTGGCCTCCCATACCGCTAACATGTGACCCTAGATCATCTATGATGGATTGATATGGGAGGTTTCGCAGGAGGGGGGGTCCTGGAGTTGTCTTGTCGGCTGAATTGTCACGGGTCTGGTTGTGCGCTGGCTTGCACCCTTCCAAGAGCCCCTGAGAAGGCTCTAAGAACCTTTTTTAACGGGTGGTGGGGGCCGTCTCGGTTTTTCCCCTTGCTACTTTGGAGCCGCCACGTTGCGCACCAAGTTTGACAAACGTGGTGGTCCTCACTTGCCCGGTGAGAGTTGTGTTTCTGCCCTTGTTGTGCGGAGAATCGTCCCACATCAACCAACAAGAAAAGGTGTATGTTGACATGGGTGTCTTTGTTTAGGGGACCCGCAAAATGGTGGCTTTCCTTTCAAAGCCGCAAGGGGGTACCCTCAAAAATACACCCATATGTTACAATATGTTTGCCCGGCCACGCGAGTTCGTAGTTGCAGACATCCAGTATCCCCACCCAAGGAGAACCACGACTTCGAGTTTGGCAGCAACAGCTCAGGCCGATTTGCATCGGAAGGTGGCAAGGTGCTTAGTCACCTGCATGGGTTCGGCATGCTGAGCGTCGGTTGCCCCACGTTTGAGGCGGACAGACCTGGATTTCAAAAGAAATCCTTTGCTTGCCCTTGGAGCAACCACCAAGGGGCTTCCCAATAGTTTTTCAGGGGCTTCAGGCATGCGAACGACTTTGGGACCAGCAGGGGATGCAATTCGTCCCGGCAGGCAACTTCAGAAGACTGTGGAGTGATTGTCGCAGCAATTTCAATACTGGGGCTTGACCAGTCCCGCGGGTCGGGTCTTGCTGAGCTCATCGGTCCATTCGCCGTTGGGTTATCCTGAGCCATAAATCAAACGCACTGCAATTGCCCCCTGAGTCAAGGACCCAGTTGGAAAGAGAAATGTTTCAAGGCGCTGATGTTTGCTCGGCGCAATGCAATTGAACATGGAGAACCTGTGGTTCCAGCCCCCCGAACACAATCCCTCATGCTGCGCGGGAGCCAAAAAGAAAATCCGCGAGCTGATGGGAGTTCCGGACTCGATCAACTGATTGGTTCATGGGGGCACCCTGTGAGCAGACGAGCTGAGGTTTAGCCGAGCTTACCTACGACGGTTTTGAGGGAGTTCTTATTTCCTTTGTGTGCGCTATAGAAAAGTTGGAAAATACAGATACACAGATACACGGGTTTTTGTTTTATGAGGGTACCCTTTACAAGATTGGTTTAATTGGAAACTACAAGGAACACCACTTTTGCTTGCTGCTTCTTCTTCCTGGGGGGATCCTTGATCCAACGGTGCAAGTCACTGCGCGTCAACCATGGTGAGAGGTTGTTGACACCCGGAGGTAGCTTGCGGCCCTAGGAGTTTCGCCGATCAATGGCCATTTCAGATTCAGCCCACTTGCATAAAACATCTGAGACCTTGGAAACCCAGGTGGGTTTGCTTTTTTTTGTTGGGGGGACTACAACTCAACTCAACAGTCGAGGCTGCATTGCCCATTTGATCGCATTGATAGGTCGTGTGGCAAGTGGGAAAGCGTCGTTTTGCTGCTTTAAGTTGAATTCATCCATCTCGGAATCAGAGATCGGGTGCAGAAGGAATGGTGCGCAGGCAATTTGTTGGCCGCTGTGAAACCGAGTTCCAAGCCAATTTGGACACAGGCACCGACCCCTAGCCACATGACTCTTCAGGGCTGCATGTAGGCAGAACTTCGGGTCTTGACATGAAGCTTATAGCTCGAGATGAAAGCGCCATGACATCACCAGCTTCCCTCAAGGCACGCACCTTCAAGCCAAGCCTCCACTCACGACAGAGTCACCTTGCACCTTACAGTGAGAGAAGGGCATTGATTTCATCCCATCGGCCGGTGCGGCATCGTGCGCCATGGGTTTCAAATATGTCTTCATTCCAGCTTCCGCCAGTGATGACATGCAGGAGACGGTTCCGTCTAACTGCTCCAGCTGAAAACTCAACTGCCATTTCGCCCGACTGGAAGAACACCCATCCGAGCGAAATGAGTGGGGGTTCGCGTATTTCAGGTTGATGAGATTTGTTTCGTCATCCAGACAAGTTGATGTGGTAGAATTTGCGAGCCGAACAAATGGACTGCTCATGTGCACAAACTCCCCTCATGGGTCTTGCCGTGGGTATCTGTTGGTTTTCAAAGGCACCAAAGGAAGCCAGCAAGGGGTGCTGATTGAGACCAAGCCGACATGGCGTAAGCTTGGCTCTCCGAGTTCTGAATAGAGGGCGACGAGTAATTCCCATGTTGCAAGTAGACCACCGGCAAGCCATGGTATGTCACAGGGTGTCCGGCACATTGGAATATTTGATGAATCAACTGAATTTGTGGTGTTCCTCCAGCCATGGCTTACTTGCCCTGAGGCCTTGACAAGGCTTTGACAAGGCGTGTTGGTCCCAGACTATTTGTTGGGGAGGTTATTATGTGATTTAATTGCTCCATGTGCCGTTGAAGAAATGTGGGGGAATCAAATATACATATGTGAATGCACACACACACACAGATGCCTTGTTTTAATACACAAGTACTTGTATACATGTATGTGTATATATATATATTAATATATATATATAACGTATATACAGGTAAAGCAAGAGAGCCGACTTTGGATGCGTGAAGGGTGGATGGGAGGTGTTTTACAGGCTCCCTGCTTTCCCCCAGGAGTTGGAGTACGAGTCAGACATCACGAGCCTTGAGGAGGCGCCGCAGATTGAATAATCCATAGCCGCGGGGTTCGCTCCAAAAGTTGCCATGTTTTTTTTGGCGTACAGCAGCACCAGCAGCAGCAACACCACACCAACAACCGCAAGGCCAAGGCCAAGGCCAAGGCCAAGGGCACGGGCAAGGCAAGGGCGAGGACAAGGACGGCAAGAACCAGAACAAGTACGAATTGTTTAAGGGATGGGGAAGTGAAGGGAAAATTATCATCTTTTGCCTTAGCGCGCAGTGTGTGTTGGACGCAGCGATTGATGGGGGAAGAAGGAGAAGGAGACGTGCGTTTGTACATGCACTGATTCACTGGCTGCAGGGCAAAAGGGCAAACTCCAGCTCAAACAAAAGGATCACCTTCGTGGCCAAGCAAGTACAGATCCCACCACGCAATGCCTCAAGGAGCTCAACTTCCTGTGGCAGCGGGGCGGGCGCGGGCAAGTCCGACAGGGTGATGTTCACCTTTCTTGAGGCTGAAGTTTGCCTCTGGATAATCAAAGGGTTAGTCGGCCATTCCTTTTGGCCTTAACACCAAGAAAGGAACCCACAGCCATTTTCCAGAATTGGTTTCACCCCCTTCCAATGGTTTCATGTTGCTTTTGAAACCTTAATGAGTCCCCAGTCTTGAGACAGCCAAACACTGCTCCATGTGAACATGTATAGGATGGTGCTCTCAGAAAGGGATTGTATTGGGGCATGCCCCAACGTCATTTCCTTTGGTTCCGTAGGCTATGGGAACAAGAAGGTTGTTGGTGACACCTGCATGAAGCATGGGGCTAAGATGTGTGTGATCCAACCAACCCTGCAGCTCTGACTTTGGTGTTCAGCTCCTGCAGCTCGGATGTTGTTCAAGGGGCTCTCTGAAGAAAGACAAGGGCACGTTGGGGGCTTTTCCGAATGTACCTCAGGTACCTGTTTGTTGTCTAAAAGAGTCGGCTGCTCCCCGAGCCACCCACGTAGGATACCTTCAGAACCTTTGTGGAGAAGTTCTTTTCAGCAGCCACACACTCAGAGCAGATCTCTGCGACATGGGCTTTCCAAAGACAAGCTTTTGCCCTTTTCTGGTCAGTCAAGCTGCCAAATGGGTGTGCCTGCTGTTTGAGGATACCTTTTGACGGGAGGTTTACAGGGAAGCCAAAAGGAAAACCAACATGTTGGGGGACGGCAACTGGAAAAAGCTTGCAAGGCCCTCGGTGACCCTGCACAAGCAATATTGGCATACTGAGGCTGGTCAATCCGTCGACCGCTCTATGCTGCTGCACATCTTGCACGTTGGCACTGTGATGGGGGGGCTGCCCACCCTTCTTTAGAACAAGCTGGGTATTCATCCAAGAGGAATCGACTACCACGTTTAGGGGGTCAAACATAGCAGGATGGCCATGCTGCGATTGCGGATCACTGCGATCGCATTGCACTTATTGTGACAGGCAGCAGCTGAAGGAGCGTACGGGCGTTGACATTCAGGAGAGCTTGTCATGTTTGACAGTTGGGCTTGCCTCCCAACTGGCAACCCGCACACGGCTGGTTTCAATTCGACTCGCTTCCACAGCCATCTGCAAAATATGGTCCAAGTTGTTGTGCCTCAATGTTTAACGCTTGTGCCAAAATTGAGTCAAGACACTCTTTCACTGGGAGCGGGTTGCGCTGATGGTGTTCCCTGGCATAGGGGTTTTGGACAATTTCATGTGCGGGTTTCAAGAGGAACCAGAAGCAGAGCTTGGACCACGGCAGATGGTCATTTGGCCTGAGTTCGCGTAGGAGAAGGCTGACAAGGGAGAGATGCCCGAGGACGTCTTGGGCTAAGTTGCGTAAATTCAAATCGCGCTGGTTCCCAGGGAATCACCGCCACCACAGGTTGGTTGGCTGGTTGCCGGGCGGGCAGGCTGGCTGGCTGGCTGGTTGGTTGGCTGGCTGGCTGGTTGGTTGCTTGATTGATAGTCATGTGGTTGTTCCCTGAGATCGACGGTTTGCCGTCAATTGTGGCCGCCTAGAGCTCTTCAGAAGCAGCAGCGGTTGCTTTGGATGCAGTGGATCCACCACTTAACGAGCGCCAAAAGAGGGAAGCGATTGTCTCAAGTCTTTCTTGGAAAAAAGCACGCGCACCATTCGCAGAGCAGCAAAAGCCGAGCATCGGTGCAAAGGAATAATTTTCTTTTCACGGGCCGAACCCCGTAGCACAACATTGCGCATGGCTCCTGAAAAAGAGTGACCCTAACAACTGGTTGGTGTCCATTTGGTTTCTTCAAACTGCCAGCGAGTACCTGTTGAATTCAGATAGAAGCATGGCTAGTCTTGATGTTTGTCAATTTTGGTATAAACAAAGGCAAACAGCAATATGATGTTGACCCGCGAGTTGGTTGCGGAAAGAGGAGATTTTGGGGCATTTTCTATGATTGGGAGGCAATCTTTAAAGTAGTCATAGACGTCCAAAAAGGCATCACAAGGGGCAATTTCAACCCATATTTGTCGTCTCGACTCATCCCGTGGGTTGCTTAACCAGTGATACCACACGAGAAGGTGTTTCTCAAACACCATAATTTCACAAATACCCCGATACGAAACTTCAGTCGAGATGCCATGAACCCCGGCTGGGATCAACATGTATGTTAACAGCCACTCTTGCTCCATGTCCAAAACAAGTTTGATTCTGGAAACAATTGTGGCTTAAACCATGGTTGAGATACGGTTGTTCGGCTCAACATGCTTAACCTGGTTTTTTTGCGAGCCGGTGGCTCGCCCAACCCTCACCCATTGGACTGGGATTCGGCTCAGATGTTGGAAAAGTTGCTGTCCTCCAACAGCGTGGAGATCTTTCCGGTGCAGCTGCCCACCAAGGACGGGACGTCGCTTAACGGGAAGCCAGATCCAACAAAAACTGGGGGCGGGACGTGGAGATGGAAGAACCCCCAGTGGAGAGTTGTCTAGGTCCCCCAGCTAGGTGCCCTTGTACCCTTCTTTTGGGGGAAGGGTTCCCCTACTAACATAGACTACAGAAAAAAGTTCCCCTACTAAAATAGACTACAGAAGAAAGTTTCCCTACTAACATAGACTACAGAAAAAAAGTTCGTACCCGTATTCTAACCTCTCTACCGAAGGACGTAGTTGTTCTGCATGGAGATGTCCCAGATTCCTTTTGCAGGTTGTTTTTTTTGCCCGAGGAGAACCAGCGACAGGAACCAACCAGAAGCGACGAATTGGATGCTGGGTTTGACACCAGGCTTGGAAGCAGCACACTGGTGGCACCAAGATTGGGGCATCGGGGGAAACAACAACACTCGGTGGAACCATCGCACTCGCAAACATTTGAGTTGATAGTTGGATCCGGGCGATGCTGGTGGAGAAAACATGTGGAGACCTTGGGCTTGCTGATAGCTCAGTGGAACTGCTGGAGCCTTCTGGGGGCACGTCCAAAACAAAGGCTTCACCCCCCCCCCCCCGAATTTGGCGGTGAAACCTATTGCAGGTGGTAGTTGCCCAATTCGAGAGGCCTTTAGATGGGTTTCAAGGGAACCAATAACAAGCCTCTACACAACATTTGTTTGCCAGAAATCCTGGAACTCTTTCTGCAGGGCCATGAAACTGAAACCGGTGCATTTTTGTTTTTCATTCGACAGCCGGAGTCGTGCACCAGGACACCAGCTTTCACGGCGTCAGTGTGTGCGGGAACCCAGGGTTTAATTTGAAACGGCTTCGGGGAACCCACTTCTTCCTGTCCACGGAACCCCAGAACCCACAAGAGCTCTCCCTTTAGGAAAATCGTCTTGCACCCTGAAAAGGTTCCATGGCAACGTGGATAGGGCACCGGTATTTGTTTGTTGCTCTCCTTCTGGCTCGACACAAAGGGTTCCCTTTTTTTCCAGGGTCACAACAATTGGTCTAGGGGGTTATGTGGAGGTTATGAATCGTTCCAGTTTCTGGGACCTTCACCCTGCCTCTGCAGGTTGAAAGCTTTCAGACGGCGTGTGTCATGAGCCTAGGTACTTGGACGACAAGGGGGTTGCCAAGAACCTTGAGGAGAGGGGCCTGCAGTGAGCTCCCGTTCCAGATGGGTTGCTCCAGGTAGGAAACGGAACCCTTTGAGCGACTCTTGAAAGGCCAACTAAAAGGGGGTCCACCATTTTGAGAAGCCTGACACTGCGATTTGAGTCAGCCTTGTTGTGCGTGAGCGAGAGAGGCGGGGGATGACGTCATGGGGCGCTTGCAGTCCAACGCATTCTAACATTTACATCCTTCCCGAAAATAGGCCACCCCCCCAATACTAGTTGGTTTGCCGCAGGCTTCCTTTAAAGAGCAACCCAAAATCGACCCCTAAATGTTGAAAGTTGAGAAAGTCACAATATGGTGCAGAGCGCGATGGGTGAATCAAAACATCTCCAGAGGCTGGGACAACCTATGGTCAAGGTCCCTAGATCCCTTTCTTAGGTTTTGTAGGTGTCAACATATCAAATGCATGGCGACGTTATTTTGAAAGGCGACCTTTGAAGATTTGGCAGTGCCGTTCTGAAGGTGTCCTTTTCAGGGCTGCTTGAAAGGAACAAAAGCCATAGGACCACTAGCTAAATGGCGGAGTCCTCTTCAGGACAACTTCCGAGTCTCCGGGCTGGTTCAGGTTGGAGCCTCAAGCGGGATGCAGCAACTTGGCGGTTTGGATTGGTATGGGGATTTGAACCCGTGGCCCTAGCGGAGCTCCAAACCACCAATGCAAAAAACACCAATCAAAGGTGAGCTGATTGTTGCTGGCTTTGAGGGGAATCCAAATGTAGGAAGCAAGGCATCTTTGGGGGGCCCCTATGTTAAGAGACGCCCATGAGGTTTCTGTCCACCTGGGACCCGATTCTATGACGAGGCAGTGCAGTCCCGTAGGTGGGTCAAGCTGGTTGGGGTTCCGTATCGGACCATGGCTCTTGGTGGGACCAGCTTGTCCATGAGACGGGCGAACGAGTTGAGGAATAGCAGATCTAAGGCGTGTGGCTACCCTGGCCAGACCTTCAAAGGGGACGTCTTCCTTGGAAGAATCTTCGATGACACAGAGGAGGGTTTGCAGCGACAGTTGTGCTTCTGCGGAGCATGTGGTTTTGTGTCCTGATTCGCCACTGTCCGTGAGCCTTAGCCCCTCCAAGTGCCGGATTCTGGGGGATGGTCCCAACACAACAACAAATTGGCCTTCCGGTACAAACCGTTTTCAAGCCCCTGATTTGGGTGTGTCTTTTTCGAGGGTACCTTTTTTGAGGTAGGTTAAACGGCAAACCAGAAGGACACCCAACCAGAGGGGCGCGTTTGGGACATTTGATGTTTGCCACGGACCTGTCTGCCACAGTCACCTTGTTCGCAAGCGCGCCAGGACGAATGGAGGCGTTTGGACTTCACCCTGAAGGCGTTGGGGAGGGCTGCTTAACTGATTGCCATCATTCGGCAAAATGGGAGGGTGCGTTTCTGAGGCCAGACTTGCTTAGGGCATGGCTTCGCGGCAGTTTGCTTCATCACACTTTTGATACGCGTGTTCTCCTCAAAATTCGGGCCTTCAGGTGGTTGGATTCCCATATGGCCGTGTCTTTTCTGAGGGTACCCTTTCCGGGATGGGTCTAAAGGGACGCCAAAAGGACACCCACCAGTTCAGGGGTTCCCGATTCAGATACCCATGGACCAATCACTCGGGACTCGGGACCTACACCCGGAGGACTGCTGCACGGATGCATCCTGGGTGGAGGTGACCAAGATGCAACGAGCGAACAGGCCCGGCCCGGCCCAGCGACTGACCGAGTTCTCCACGCCAGTCAGCGAAATATGGAGAATTCACCACATCATCGGCTGCAGTTGAGAAGTGGCACAGGGTGCACTCACCAAGTGGTTTCTTGATTAGGCCAAATGGTAACGGGTATTGACCATGGCTGAAATGCATCATTGACTCTGTCCAAAGCGAATCCACCTTCTGCGGTTTCAGCTTCCCATGGTTCCACAATGTCAATCCTTCATACTCTCCCTCCCACTAAGATCCACCTGACACGGTGTTTTTTCCCCTTTCAGAGGAAGTTTGTTTTCCAGCTACCCTGTGTGTGCCAGGGGGTCTATATGCCATGGTCGAAAACACCGTGCTAATTGCCGTACGGCCACGAACAAGGCAGAGCTTTCTTTGCTGGTGGAGAGGAAACAAAGGCACGCCAACGATTTTGTGGGTCCATTTCCAATTAGGCAAGCCCATACGTGTTTTACCAATTTCGGGGAATCCCTTGAATTCGAAAGGAAACCGGAAGCCTTGTTGCCACTTGGCAGGGCCTGGTGTATTGGCTGCAAACATCAGCAATTTATTATTGGCGGGCTTCCTTTGATAGAGGAATCATAGGTAAAGCATAATTACCATGGTCAACATAGGAATCCGAGTTCTTGTGCTTCCCGAGATCGGCCGCAAAGAAAGTTACGAAAGGTTGATTCTCATTTGGTTTTTCATTTGAGCATCCAACAAAGGTTCCCTGTCGCATAGGCCGCGGGCTTTTGCATGTGAATCGCACGGTTTTTTTGCAGCGTTTGCTGCATGTTTTAGTGGGGAGGGTGGGTGGGGAGAGGGGTCGAGAACGTTTGAAGGTCCCGTGTGCACAAAGCACCGCAAGTACCTGTGTTTTCTGCACGCGTGACGGTCGCCCATGCGGGCTGCCTGGTGAAGAAAGGGGCTGCCTAGGGAACGTCAAGGGCATATGCTGCGCTAGTCAGAGGGCGATGACTCTCTGGCTCATCCAGGAAGCAGGGCGACCTGCAAAACATGGCCAACAGCATTGGCATGAACAACCCGGCAGGGCGCCCAGCGCGATGAGAATTCGCGAAGGTCGCTAGTAAGAAGGTCCCCCGAAATTGCAGTACTTTTGTAGTTGCTGTAGTTTGTTGTTGCTCAATTGCCATGCTTTATGACAGCAACCGAAAAAAGGTCCGATTTGCCAATTGGGATTCTATTTTGGAGGGTTCGAAGATTGCCAGACTTGGTTGAGGAGTGTTCAAGAGGAAATTGAGTAGACCCTTGGGGACCCCAGCCATGAATGAAGCTTAAGGGGATCCTACCCATGTAGATAACGGGTACACTGCATGGTGCATGCACCAAGTCCTACCTCCTAGGTCGACTCAAGTCACGTGCCTTGCAACATTTGGGTCTTTCTTTTTTGGGGCAATCCCTTTTGGTGGGTTTGAAAGGCAAAGGAAACCGCACATTTTTGGCTTGCGCTTTGATACAATTCAGTCACGCCTCGATTTTTGGATTGGAGGCTTAGGGAGTTGAAGGGTTCCCCCAAGCTCTTTGGAGCAACCTTATTCTTTGTTCAATTCTGAGACCCCTTCGCCCCCGTTTCCGGAGGCGCGCATCGAGCCGTCCATGATGCAGGATGCAGCGCCCGAGGGCGAGACTGCGGACTACTCCTGGAAACAGGCGGAGGGTTTGGGAGTTGGGTTCCTGAAGGGAACCCCAGAGGAATTCAAAGGAAACTCTTTCCGGCAGTCGCAAAATGAGTTAAACCTGTTTGTGGCAAATGTTTGAAAGACAACCAGAGCAACTTGTGAGATTTCTTCCTTTTGTCAAGACACGCCCCTTGATCGGACATGAACTCGTTTGGCTCTGAGGTAACAAAGCAAACGGTGACCGCTTGTTGCCGGCCTCTCAATTTGCCCATGGAGAGCTAGGGTCCAAAGCAGTTGGCAACCTCGGTTTCAATTCAATCGGAAGGTGGCATCTAAGGACCTGAGGTTGACACTGTCCCAACCTTGGATCCAATCTTCGCTTTGGCTGAAAGGGGTTCAGCGGACCGTGCGCGATGCAAGTTGGGGGCAGCTACTTTGCATGCATCACGAACATGGGCTCCTTGAGTGCAGAGACAGGGGCATTCAGACTGCGATTCCTCTTTTAAGCACATTCTCAGTAGTGGATGTTTGCCCTGGTGGGATCTACCCTGGCAAGCACTGAAGACTTGCCCTGCATCCCACTTAACTAGCTTGGGCAACTAGGCTGCCTATGTTGGAAAGTGTTCCTACCTGCTTTGATAGGAGGTGTCGCTCATTGACGAGAAGGCAGATGTTGAAGAAATTTTAACAAACTCGGAAGCTGGAGGTGAGGGTCGTTCCCAATTTCAAATAGAGGCCGATTGGTTTGGGGAGCATGTTTCTTTGATAGGCGTTGATGTCTGTGATTCGATGCCAGTCTGAAGACGAAGTGGAGGTTTGAGCCTGAGAAAGATGGCCAAGAAGTCGCTGTGAATGAAATGGGCCCCAATGTCCGCAATGTCAAGCGGGATCATGCTGCGGAGGGGGGGGAGGGGGTCAAACTCGAATTGACGGTAAGGATACATCACACAAGTGTTGCTCAGATGTGCTGACCAGGTTCTGACGCGCATGGCTGGCCAAGGTTACCTTCAAGAAGGATGACCTGCAAAAGGGGGACAAGAGGTATGTGAAGGCTGGCACGTGGGGGTCGCGTTGGAGGCCGAGATGACCAACTCGTCAACATGCATTTGTCTTCGCACGTAGCCTGGCCGAAGCAAGCACCAGAGGCAGCGGTTGGTTGTTGGTCAAAATGAACGCCCTGTTAGACACATGGGCCACTTCAGGCTTTGTCTCAAAGCAGGGATCACTCCTATTGGCAACTTACAACATGGCATGGTACAAAGTGCCAAAACGAAGGAGCATTTCCCTCTTGGGGCATTGAGGAGGACGAGCTTAGTCGAGTTTTTTGGGGGGGACGAAACAGACCCCGATGTCCCGCCATGGTGCTCTGGGGAACGAGTCGAAAATTGGCAGCCACCCTCCTCTAGATCACCCCAACGGTTATCGCCTTATTTGGCTGTGTGCAGCGGGGGGAATCTTCCATCGAAGTTGGGTAGGAGGATGTATTGAGCGAAGGCTCAAGCGGGGTGTGAGGTTTTTGAGGGTTCCCTTTTCAGGTTGGTGTCAAGGTTGAAACCCCAAGAGGACCGCCATTTTTGGGGGGTCCATCCCCCAAACCACCCGAACCAGCAGGTGGCCTTTGGCCGGAAGCGCTTGAAGGTGGAAGTCAAGGACCAGGCGCCTTGATTCGCGAAGCGGAGGTCTCGTCTTCGCCGAACCAGACCGGGAAGTTACGCGTTGATCCTAAGGCTGAGAGACTTCCCAGAAAGGTCTAGGCTCAAAGGCAATCCGCGGGCCATTCGCAAGATCCTTGGGTTACGGAAGGATTCTGTGCCCTTGAAAGTGGTCTAAATGGGTTATCTGTGGATTCGGATTGAGCAGCACTCCATTTGAACAGCCAAGGTCTCCTGTAAAGGGGAGTCCGAAGGAGGGTTTTTTGCTGAGCTGGTGCGTTGAAGCGTCCTGGATTGAACAAATGCCACCTAGTGAAACATGCTTAAAGCACCAAGACCTTGAACCGACTGCGTCTTTTTCGTTGTTTTCAAGAGAAACCAAAGGCAGCCCCCTCCACCCTCCCATTTTGCAGGGTTCCCACATTGTGAGGCAAACCTGATTGAGCCTAGGTGATCATTGACTCTCCGCTTGCCGGCAACACCACGGCAGATGAGTGCACCTGGACGCTGAGCGACGGCGTTCTTCAAGCCAGCGCCCAAGTGGAAAGATCTGGAGGTGCTCGGATAGCCCGAATTCTTGACGACGAATATGGGGTTGTCTCACACGCCCAAAAAGGGTATCCCCACAAAAATAGACATACCGCACACCCACAATGGATTCGCTGCCCGGTCATAGTAGTTATGAACTTCGATGCCACATTGGCTCCCTCGATATGCAAGGGACCCTTACAAGTTGTTGCCCCTTGTTTTCTGGAGGCGCTTACTGGTGTTGACACGGACGCACACCTACAATCTGAGCAGGTCTCAAAATCAGGGAGCCCAGTAAATGGGTGGTGTCCTTTCACTCGGAGCAAGACACGCGCAAGCTGCTAGAAGGCACCAAATATTTGGAATAGGGATATATCTATTTCATCCTCACCTCTTTATATGATGTGTGTGATTCCTCAGGGATCCTTGGCGCGCCTTGCTCCCTCACAAAAGGTCACGCTGGCGAAGGCTGACGGGGAGACTTGGTCGAGGACCCAGCTGTTTTTTGGTGATGTGAGGGAGCTTTTTTTTGAAGATGTTGAATCGGGACAAATGGGTTTGTCCCCAAATATCGGGACCGCCAAAACGAATGGTTTCCCTTTGGTCTGGCCGTGGCTCAAAAAATCCGGCACCAAAATGGAACCCTGGTAAGTGGAAACATGGACCAAAACCTGCGTAACCCCTCCTGTTGAATTTTAGCCACACCCGCCTCTCTTCAAACCAACACGAACAAGGATGCCCTACAAAAACAAAGCAAAACAAACAAGCAACTGCCCAATCTGAGCATTCAGTTAGTGCTCCTTGAGGCCGCATCTATTGGATGCGTGAGGCCCATTTTGGCTGGCGATGGCATGGAGGTGGAATTGGACATGTGTGCTACCGTCTTTGAAATGGTATTGGTCGGTTTGATCTTTCGCCCAGGGCCCAGATGTTGTTTTTAATAGATTGGTCAGCAATCCCTCAAACAGACATGTTGACAGCCAGGGCAAGGACCGCAATTCGCACAACGGACCAATACCCCCCATACAGTGGGAGCTTTGGGCATGGTTTACTTGCAACGCATCCACATCCAGTGTGCCACATCCGGGCAGCGGAGAGCTTATCAGACTCTCAGCGAAAGTGCTGTAGCCCGCGGTCGCGTGTACAGTGGAAGCAGGGCTGTGGGATCGACAGACGGGATCCGCGTGCTCATAATATTGTGTCCAAGGGACTTCCAGTGCCTCCAAACCAAGACCCCCAGTGGATATGTGGCCATTTTCCTGTAAGAACCTCTGGTCTACCCGGGGGTAGGGGAGAGCTAGAGCGTTGTTGTTGTGTTTGCCATGGTCAGAAGGGCTGGTTTCTTCGAGTTGAGGACTACCAGGGACTGTGATTAGCCTTTGCAATTCGTCTCCAGCAACAAATCATTTGGATCTCGATTTTGGGACTCATGGCGAGGCCTACAACACCATACCAGTGCCCATAACTGCACGCAGTGCCTGAGCGGAATTGTCAAGTTGCACTGCAGAAAGATCTAATGCCACATCACTGGCAAGGGTTGGCCCTAGTTGCCTCTGCAGACGAATCAACAAAGAGGTAGCGCCAACAATCGTGTTTTACACATTAAATACCGGGTCAGCCAAATCTGCTGACAAGCCAGGGGTATCGGTTCTCTTCAACCTGCTTCAATTGACAGAATGAGATCGGCAGAAGGAGGCCACATGGATACATTTGTCAGCAAGATTTGGAGAAAAAAGACACAAGGAGTTTGTTCTCTATCATGGAAGCCAGATGCCTCAAACAGGGGCCATGCTTCAACCATTAAAGTGAGCCCGTGGCTGTTCAGTGCTTCTTTTTTTTGCCTTTTTTGGAACCTCCAATACACGTGGCAGGTTCAATGGAAACCACCAGTAAATTGCAACTTTTGAAGGGCAATCCAGTACTGCCAGTAATGGTTTCTCGGGTGAAAGTGGGCAGACGTTGATGGAAAGCTGGCAACCTGAGCCTTTTTCTCGGCGATCCGCAGAGCGTCTTGGGCTCAAAGTTGGCCAAGGTGAAGCCCTCAACGAAAGGCTGGGCTAAGGGAGGGCGTTTTGTGGTCTACTTGGATGCGAGTTGGCGAGTGGTTGACCTGGTAACCCACAAACGCAAAGGGGTTGGCTCCTGTAAGACTCTAGGATCTGTGAGTGGGCTATGAGTCAGTTTACTAGCCACTGGGCCGAACATCAAACATGGTCTCCTAAAATTGGATTCTCAGTTCAAGGATGACCTAGTTGGCAGAAACAGCTATACTCTGGTAATGCTCTGAGAAGGAAGGGGAAGGACTTACCTGAGGGGTGCCCGAAGAATCCTGTCACTAAGTGGAGAGAATTGAAACTGTTTGGCGCCTCGGACTTTCAACAAGGAAAACGAACGCAACAGTGTCTCAACAAGGCCTTTGCATCTCAAACCTGGACCAAACCCAAGCGAATCGAATCCTCCTGCCAGGCAACGCTCTTCGACGTCGGATGCAAGCGGACGATGACGACAACGAAAGGATGGGAAATGGAAATGTGAACGTTTCCCTGCCAGTCCAGGCAACACTTGTCGGACCAATAGGTGATTTCCCTCTTGGTGTGATGTTTAAGGGGAAGCCCTTCGTTACGCTGTTTGTTTGGTTGACAGTTCTGATAGCTGTGTGGCTTTAGCTTTTACGCAGGTGTTTGCTTTCCACTTTTGGCATCTCTTGCCGTTGGGGATGAAAGGCAGCATCTTCTGTCTCTGGGTCTTTCTTTTTCCGGTGGCATCCTCTCCAAGCTCTCATTCCCCGAGCTTGTCGCAGGAAGAATGGGAAGGTGGACCTCCCGTTGGAGGCTCCCAACTTCGGAATTGCCACACAGGCGGTCTACGCTGGGGTTCTGAGCAGCTTTCTCTATGGCGACTTGGTGAGCACGCGCAAACGGCGTCTGGACGGTCTTTGAAGGAAAACCAAGCGCTCTTCTCGCTCTTCGAAGGCAATCCACAGAGCATCCTCTTAGGATACCGGGTTTTGCATGGTGAACCGCCCTAGTTTTTGGTTGGCGAGCTCTCCTGGTTAGGACCCCCCGCCATCTTTTTGGTTTGACACAATGTTTGGGCAGGTCCCTTTTCTATCAACCAATGACACCGAATCCACTGGCTGCGGCTTGCACACAGGGACCTTGCGCGGGATGAAGCTCAATATCATGTTGGAGTGGCACTGGGTGTTTTAGCAAAATTGGGCACCCGTTTTGGATGATTGTTCATGAAAGCCCAAATGGAAAGCATGTGTTGCGGGGGTCTTAAGTCGTGTCAAGCATCCATGTCTCAGCACGGAGTAGGTGACTCATTGCCCATGCCCTTTCAGGTATTTACTCCAACAATTCAACAAACAAAACAGGGCCTGCAGACTCAAAGGGCCTGGCAGGGCCACTGGTTGGATGGTGGACGGTGGACAGAGTTCTGTGTCAAGTAAGTTTGGAGCTCCCCCCATGCAATTCGACATTCTGCGGGACGGGTATACGTTGGCCAGGGGAGGATGGTTGGCGATGTTGGTGTTTGTGCGCTCAATGGCTGGTTTTAAAGTGAGAAAAGCACCCTGACCAATCCATGCATGCCGAGCCGTTGTCGGTTCTAAGGCTACCATCTTTGCAACCTGAATTCGTGTGTCCAGGCTGCAATTGATGCGTGCGTGGATGTGTTGGATGTGTCCGCGACAAGAGGTCCTTTTTATAGCGCTTGTTTAGCACCCTCCAAAGAGGGGTTGCCCATTTTGGGAATTTTGGGAATACCTGTGCAATTTGAGTTTGTCTCTAAATCTCCCATAATCTAATAACAGCCAACCCCAACAAAGGTACATGAGCAAAATGGTCACTGCGTGCTAAGCGGCCTGGCGCGCGGGTAACAGGCTTGCGCAAGGCCAACTCCAACACATAACTGGGAATTCCCATCCGAACGTCTCCGTTTGAAAACCACTCTGCAAACGACCCATGTTGTGTGGATTTTGAAACCTTGAAAGTTAAGATCTAGCTTGCGCCAGAAACGAGTTGCTGATCTGACCTTGGTCAGCACAGGTGGCGGGTTCAAGTTGCGAGCAAGAGCATTTTTGTCACGCGGCAGCTTGATGTGGTTATATCGCAGCTGATAGATCAGCATACATTGATCTTGTCTGCAAGCCAGCCCGCTGCTGCTGTCTTTCACGTACAACTCCTTGCCCCACGGACACTGCAAGCACCGGAGTCGCGGCATACCCGGAGCCTCCATATCCAAGAGTGTGTGTGCAGACTCCCCACGTGCCAGCGTGTCGTGAAGGCCCAGAAGGTTGCTAGCAGCACCCAAAGACCCCAAATCGTGGGAGGAAAGTAGGCGGCAACTAGGAGGCCACCTTGGAATTTTGATTTGCGCTGTAGACGTACCCCAACAAATGCAGTTTGAAGTTGTGCAGGTTTGTACTCAATGTGATAGTATTGTTCTTTGCTGGTTTCCAGGCACCTTACTCATGGCTGCCCGTGCCACCATTGTTTGACATTGCATTTGGTCTTTGGGTGCTCGGCAAGCAAGACAGTCTGGACGATAGATTTTGCAAGCTCGACATGTTTGATCGACGACCGCGACTGGATCCAGTGGCAGGTGGCAACCACTTGTTGTGTTCGACATGGGGCGTTGTGTGCGTGTGGGCGTGTCGGGCGGGAAAGGAGTTTCACCGGTGTGTACGGCAAGAGTGTGTGTGTGTGTTCGCGAGAACTGGAATGTATACATTTTGAGATTTCTAAGGCAGCAAATTCCCAGGTTGCGCACGGTGAGAGGGCGGAGCCAACAAACGCCCAACAACTGCAAAAATCGACAAGCAACGTGCGCAAACACACCCGGTTGGGAAATCGTGTGCCTTTTGAGTTGTCCTCGACTGCCCTCCGCAAAAAGCTTGTTCCCAAGTAAAAGTTTCCCATTTGTGCCACAATCAAATCTTCTTGGATGAATAGTCCCAACCATAGATGGGTGTCGCCATTGGAACTCTTGAAATCTGGTTCTGGGATGACAGCCATGGCACTACCGGGTTTTGGTTGGTCGACTCATTTGGGGAGTCGGCGCAGATCTCCGAGGCATGGACTTTATCGGTCTTCATTTTCAGTGGTGCAAGAGCCATACGAGGATCGACTGCTTGGCCAGCGCAATCGATGGAGGCGGCCCGGCACCCTGAAACAGTCCTGGTATTTCTCCTGTGTTTTAAGCAATCTTAGTTGGGAAATAGACGTGGGAAGTGTCCAGCAGACTCCTTCCCAGTCTTGAGACGTTGGCCAATCTTAGTTGAGTTGTGTTTCGGTGGCATGGTGAAAGGGACAGGTCAAGAACGCTTTTGAAACCTGGAGCTGGGAGAGAGGAAGGAGGTGGCCCCCAGAATTCCATTCATTGTTGTTGCCTTTAGACTGGATACGGGTGTATTTGGAGATCCCCCGTCTCTCTCGCCCGTTAGGAGTTGTGCCAACACCAGCGTAACACGTCGTGTTGGTGGAGAACCGTCCCGGTCTCGATGGAAGACCCACCACTCACCTCTTGGTTTTGGAAGCCTCAAGCTTGGGTGCCTCCAATAGTCGAAGCGATTGCTTCTCAAGATGTAGTTGCGCGTGCCAACATTGTGGACCCACAGGACCAGCAGCGTGACACCAACCATTTGGAGCGGCCTCTACTGTTTCCTTCACTCATAGTCACCAACATGTAAACTCCTCACAGATTCAGATCCTGGAGAGGTCGATTCGCCAAGCCAATGCAAAAAGCAGCGAATCGTTGGCGATCAGCATGACAGAACCCTGTCTTGTCCAAGCAAAAAACAACGATGGCTGTGCTTCAATTGAATAGCAACACAGCACGCTTTACTTCTCATCATTATCTCCCCTTGACACCAGGAGGGACACATACAACACCACCTTGAGCAGATTGAACAAAGGAAACCTGTTTTGATCATGATCAAAGGGCCTGGGTTTTAGGCTATGCGCAGGCGACAACGCGAAGACTTCCTTTTGGGGAAGCCAGGACCATCCCACCAACGCAGTTCGGATCATGGTGCATTTGATGAGAGGCATGCGATCTGGAATGACGCCTACACGCTAAAGATTCATTTGCTACCCTAGCCCCTTCTTGCACATTTGCTGCTGCATGGGTCTCAGCGCAGATGGGTGCCGCCGGGCAGATTGTGAAAATATGCATGTTGGGGGGGGTTCGAGTTTGATACCATTGCGACCACCTTTGGAAGGGTCATATTGAAGGTCGATGGGGCAGGTTTTGCCTATTGTAGGCAGGGACATCAGCAGGAAAGCAGTGCCACGGGCCAGGAGGTTCACGAGTGATGCACCTTTTCGTAGATTGTCCGACGACTGGGAGGCTTGATCAACGCAATCCTCTACCTGGGGGCTGCTGCGGGGGCTTTGCTGGTGGGCAGACCATTCATGGTGAACTATGGCTGCTCTGCTCAATTTTCCCGGCTCTTTACAGAAGCTCTTGTTGCAAGGATGATGTTAACTTCGGATTGGTCCGGAGGACCAATTCTAGTCAGCGGACCGGTTTATCCCGAAGTTAACATAGAAGAATCTCTAGAATCTGGGCGTTTGCTTTGCGGCCTCTCACTTCCCACAGGTCACGAGGAGCCGAATCTTCCTAGGTGATGGCAACTTGTTGCTATACGATGTTGGCAGTTCAGCCCGGGTGTCGTTCTTCCCAAAACAGCCAGAAGCCCATGGAAGTTCCAGTGCTGTGGGATTTCTGCTAGGTCGCGAAAAATCTGCATAACCAGCTTGCCGAACTTCACTAGGGTTCGAGATTTGGACGCAGCTGTAGATCCACAGGTCATCCAATATGATCTCATGTTTCCGCACGACACAAAACGTGGAGCTCACTGTGGTTCAGCATGATTTCGTTGCATGCGAGTTGCGCAAGAGGTTGCAAAGGCGGTTTGGCTGAGTACAAAGAACAACCATCACAAATTAGTTCTACACTAGTTGGTGCAGATGCTTTGGCACACGCTGACCCTTAGGAGTGCGTTTCGCGCCTTTCTCTTGCTCGAGCCGTCCGGCAGCTTAGGCTCTCGAGTACAGCTGGTCATCTCCGAGCCTCGGAGTGTTCTGCATGTCTCAAGATCTATAGTGGGCCCTTGCAAAACGGGGCGGTTTCTTTGCTTGACTCTGGCAAAGTCCAGGGGGTTTCTAAAGAAATGAATTGAGGGAGGGGATCCATAAAGAATCAAGTGTTAACAATTAATTCTTGAATTACCTAAGGAGACCCCAGCAAAAGTCTATCACTTCAAGAAAGGCTCACCACACATGAGCCGGAATCAGAACCCGGGTAGACGAAGGCTGGTAAGGGACAATCCCAACCATAAGTAGCTGCGGCCGCCTTCTTAATTCTTTACATGGTTGACCATTTTAATACCGGGCTTATTATGACTCACATGAAAAATCAGATCCCACCAAGAGCGTCTCGATTTCTTGGCTGCTTTGGGACAAAAGGCTTCTGAAGAGGAAGTTTGTTCCTAGGGGTGGCCTTTCAATACCACTTGAAGAGGGTGTCCCCATTTTGAAACAAACCCAGGTGTGAAGATAGCTTGCGCGAGTTATGCCCCCTTCTCAAGGAAGTAGATGCTCGGCCTATGCCAGCCTAGCAGGGAGATTGCAAACTGGCGCTTGCCTTGCATGCAGCCCCACGACCAAGGACGTGTTCTTCATGGCGGGAGGCATATTTGGCGCGTTCGCTATAGGCATCAAGTGCCTCCTCCTATCTCGCCTTCTTTCCGGAATTGGCCTTGGAATCTCAGATGCCTGGCTCAGATTGGCTCAGACTACCGAGATCAGATTCTATGTCCATGCCACTACGTAAAATCTAAGATGTCCACTGTCCCCAAGCCACGAATATACCCTCCACAGAAAACGGCGAACATGCCCCTTATGCAATTGGTGCACATTGGTCATATGATATATGTTTGTTTGCCCTGTTTCTCTCGGTGTGATGGTTTGGGGGCAGTGAGACTCAGCTTGCATTCGCGAGCGATATCTAGATTGCTTGCATCCAAGGCCATCTCCGCGCCTGTCTTCATTGCAGAGGTGCGGTTTGAGTACCACCTCAAGATTACAGCTCAGTACACCCGGGGATCCATTGACCCCCCCTTTGATTGCCGATCATTTTCTCTTTCATCTCAGAAGCAACCATAAAAACGCTCCCTGGGTTGAAGAGACTACTTCAAGTTGCCCTTCAATTATCCTCCACCTGGGTGGGTGGCCCAGTAACTTAGCAACCTACAATGTGCCGCACAGTACAGTTGAACATTCGCAGGTGTCGCCAGCCGAATGCCGTGGATGGCATGCGGCAAAGCACGGGCTCTACATCGCAGTTGGCAACTCGGCAGCAACACTGCACCCGGAGCAAATCGCGAGCGCGAGCAATAGGCGAAGCATCGCCACCCACCCTAAACCCTAAGTACGATATATGGAAAGTGGTGGTGCACCCTGAATCACACCATCGCGACTCCATACCTTGTCACGTGGGCTAGAAAGAGGTTGGGGCCTGTTTGACCGTGGAAGCGTTAGCTCATAGGACTTCCTGAGTCGTACCCTCCACTTACTGCCCCCTCATTGTGCCACATATACCCTCTACGTGCGTGGTCCCTCAATTTTTGGAGGAGTAGGATCATAGGAAGCGCTTGGGCAAGAAATGAGCAGCATCTCATTTTGGCCAATCACTAGGCTGGAGATGGCAATGTCCATAAAGGGGACGATAAGATCTACTTTCAAATCTACTTGGGGAGGTTGTGCCATCTACTTCGCCCCAATCCAAGGAATCTACAGAAAAGTCTACAGCAACAACAATGTGAATTGGCCGAACACCCACCCAAAAACCGAGGATGGTCCGTACCTAGAGTCTCCATGACCCTTAAAAAGAGGGTCCATGACCCCGTAATTTTGGATAATGACCCCACGTTTTAAGGGTCATGGAGACTCTAGGTAGAGTTTTCCTGATTTCTGGGACCCAACTCATGCCTCAGCGGCCACGCGCTGTGCATTCAGGTCTGTTGGCCGCAGAGCTGGTTGGACTTCCACAAGACCCACCAGATCAGGGCCTCACAGCCCCCCGACTCGAATTGGTTTGGTTTGGCTTGGGGTCCATTCGAATTTGTTTTCTTTTCTGTTCTTCTTTCTGTTTGTTTTGTTTTTACTCTGTTTTTGTTTGTTTTTCTGTTCTTCTTTCTTTTTTCTATGAGACCCGAAGGGGTCCCTGATTTGGACACATTCCACGTCCCCATGCAGCAAAAAGCGCCGGCAAAAGCTGAGTTTGCCTATGTGAGCGGTTGTCAAGTAAAGTGTTTCCCACCGAAAACATGGCATCCAGCGCGAAACCCAAACGAGTGACAACAGGGCACTACCTTGTTGACCCCTTGAGTATGCATATTGTCTCATAGTACAAGCATGATTTGAACACCAGTTTCGATGAGTGGGCGTTCACCAGGAATGCAAGGACTGATGAGTGGGTCGGGCATATTGGAAAGCTCTGCTTGTGGCTCCAGTTGAAGTTGATACTGCAGGAGAAGTGCACATGGCTGAAGCCTTCAATGGAGCAGTTGGGACACCATGTCAATGTGTCCCCTGCAATTTATCGATCTTTCGTGCTTGGTCGGCGTGGGCCGTTGTGTGACCCTTGCCCCTGGGGTGGCTTCTTGCTCGCTGTTGCATTCATGCACGACTCTGTGCCTTGGCTCAAGCCTGGTTCTTGCGCACGCTACTTGCTGCTGACTGAAGCAAACTGAGCGACCTGGTTTGCTTGACAATGCCCCCAGTTTAGTGCATATTATTTTGGTTTACCAGACGCTGGCCTTGCATATTATTATAACGTTCTACAGCTGACATGGCCCGCATTTTCGGGATTTATTCAGGGAATCACGGGATCACGAGACCACTTTCCGGGCTTAGAGGCTCTGATGTTGACCTTCAAGGGGTTTGCAGGGATTTGCGAGGGGAGGGGTGTTAACGTTCCGCTCAGAGGTATAAGTTGGTATGACTGTTGGTATAGGCCTTTCAACTTTTCCTCCGTAGATTTAGGCCGCTGAACGCAAGCAAGCTTTTGAAAGGAGCCAGGCCAAACACGCGCCACTACTCACGTTCGTGAGCACGTGGGTTGTGCCAACAAGTTGAAGTAGGCGTGAAGCCAGCATTGCACCTAGCGATGGTACGCCACTGAACACGGCTGTCTTCAAAATCATACGAAACGATATTTTCGGCCACTTAGCATTGCAAACCAAAGCATGCGGGACTTGGAATGATGTTGCCGCACGGGAACATGATCTCGGGATGTTCACCAGCCTCCAGACAGTACCCCTTCCCTAATCATGCGCTCAAAAGATGGTGCAAGTCGCAGCGTCTTGTGATGAAGAGAAAAGCGAGGTATGCCATGTTTCAGGGAACCTAAGAACCTAAGGGCTGGGCGTGTCATAGCGCCTGAAGCGAGGAACGGAACGGCTGGTGGTGGCGAGCGATTTTGGGCTTGCCGCTGCTGCTCGCAGGCTCCGGCCGAGCAAAACCCAGAAATCCCGAGAAGGGAGAGGAATTTGGTGTTAGACGTGTCATGTTTTGGGTTGGACCCCCCAAAATGCTGGTTTTCCTGTTGGTCTCCTGTTAAAACGATGAGAGAAGGGCACCATCACAAAAGGAGAGACCCAAAATGGAAAACTATTTGTATGTTAGTACAACAGCAAAGGACACCTGCATGGCGGGCTGACCATTGTTTTCTGAGTGGAAAAGCTTACCAAACAGAGATCCGGTCCCCTATTTTGGCACACACCCATGTGGGAGTCAAGTAATTGGATGGGAACGTTAATTTTGGAGTACCATGTGTCCCCCCAAAAAGGGCACTATCTATCCCCTTTAGCCGAAGCGATCTCTGTCGATCTGAAGTGGAGATTGATGTTGACCAGTGGACTAGTACTTGGACTTGGATGTCCAATGTACGTAATAACTACGTATCCGCACCCCGTAAATACTATTAGGAGTGGGCATATCCCCCAATCAGAGAAGCTGCCCCATAAAATCCCCCCGAATGTGCTAAATAACAATGTCGAATCGTGACAAATCAATCCAGTCATTGGTCCTGCATGAAGATGGGAATCAACAGGGAATGCCCGCGAGTGGTAGCCATGGAGTTTACGATCGATTCTTTTCACCAAGAAAATGATTCACCCATCGCATTCAGAAATGAGAATGTCTCCAAAAAGGGTTTCCTTTATTGTATGAATTTCCCTTGTCCTGCTCAAGCCCATCCAAGAACAGGTCCCCCATTTTGAGACAGACCCGAATTAGAATACATGGGGGAGGCTCGGCGGCAGCACAAAGACCCAAGTTCCAAAAAATCCTGCAGGATGTTGCAACTCCAGCAAACACGCACACACACACACACAGACACACAGACACACAGACACACAGACACACACACACACACACACACACACGAGTGCATCGTCGATTGTTAAATTATCAGGTCGTACTGGCATCAACCAATTCGCTTGAATCCTCAATAGGATCGTGCATGGGCAGTGGAAGCTACATGCCTCACAAATATGTCTGAAGCTTTGGAGATCTTGGGAGTTTGGGGGAGGGGGGTGTCTTGGGGTTTTGGGCCCCCCGCTTTCTGGCAGGCTTCCAGTTCGTCATCTTCAAGTATGACCTTCCTGTGGACTCAGTCTCCTTCCTGGTGCGCCAGGCTTCTCAACATCTCTACAAAAAAACACCCTGTTTTTGCTTTGGGGCATTTTGTTAAGGGATGTTAGGACTTTAACTGCTTGCAAACTACTGGGTTTCCCATTAAACCACAAAAAGTAAGACTTTTAGCAGGGGAGCAAACAGCCACCGAGTGTGTGTTTGTGTCTTTGCGTGTTTGTGTCTTTGTGTCCCCTCTACGTGCACTTGAGAAGGAAACTTTAAGAGGAACCCATGAAATGAACCATTTTTGAAGGGCTCCCTGGTTTTGATCCATGGACTTGTTGATTTGACTGACCCTGCAGGGAAGGATGGACGAAGCCAGGACACGTGCTGCTGCCGCATGTCAGCTTGCCGCTTCCACCAAACGTCAACAGACAAATCTGGAAGACGGTGCGAATCAGAGGGCTTTCCCTAGGTCCCCCAGTGCCCTTTACCCTTGTTTTGGGGGAGGGTTCCCCTATTAAAAAAGTTTGTACCCTTCCAACCTCTCTACTGGAGGACATAGTTCAGACGGATTCACCTTCACTGAACTGGGACCGCACGAGGATGCCCTGTATGGGAAAGCATGACTGCCCTGCGGCACGGCGGCAAGTATATTGGCCACCTCATGACCCAATGGAAGCTTGAAAGAATCTGAGGAGCACCCCAAAAGCACCCAGAACAGGAATCGACTTTGGAATCAGATCTTGTTAGGGGGGATGGTTTTCAATTTCCCCTGTTTACTGGAGGACAAGGGTCACAGGTGAAGAGTACCCCAATATCGACTATGGGGTCCTAATCCTACCTTTTGGGTGGCGCTCCTGATTTGTGGCTTGGGGGTACTTTGTTGGCTTTTCTTCTACCCTAAGAATCTTGGGACCTCAAGAATCTTACCACATTTTGCCGCACATGGAATCGCCAGGATAATGCTGTACAAAACCTACGGGCTCCCTCCGCCTCAACTGTGGCCTGGCTGGGGAAAGGATGGCTGGCAAAACGCATCCCGAACATGTCCATGAACGAAAAAGTCGGAAGGTAGCTGTTTGAACGACAGTGGTTTGAAGCGGTGTTCTGAACAACTGAAGTCTGAAGGCTCCTTTTCAGAAAAAGCTAATAAGGCTTTGTGAGAAGGGCCCCTTCAAAAGGAACAACTAGAAGGCAGTTCCAACAGTTTGAGACTTAGCATGTTGACACTGGTTGGCGAACCTGTGAGAAAGCTGTCCGATACCCAAAAGGAAATTCCCTTCTACCAAAGGCTAACGCAATCCTACTGGAAGCCGGATGCACCACAAGCCCCGCATTCTGGACTTAGGTGTGGAGCGTGCGTCCCAATACATGAGTTGAACCTCAAACTCATGTTGATTTCAATGGTCTGCTTTCCAAACCTCACACTGAGCGGGATCCCGCTCATATGGCAGCGCGCGTGAATGTCGCAACCCCGAAAAGGCGTACCGCTGTGTGCCCGTGGCACTCATATTTGGTGCCCCCACTTGCCAGTTGGAGGCAGAGGTCTTATCATTTTGCTGCTGGGTGGAGACCCTTGGCCAATTTTGACTGAGTTTTCTCGGGCGAGGTTTGAAGGACATGTGGATTTGCTTCAAAATTTGGATGCGCTCAAAATGAGTGCCTTCCCTTTGGTCTCCCTGAGAATCAATGCCATACCCTCAAGGACGCGCCCATACAAACAAATCTACCACGCATCAACCACGCATCTACTTATGTTTTTTTATACACATCTCCATGGCTGTGGGCCAAAAATGGGTTTCCCAAATGGAACCCTAGTAAGTGAAAACATGGACCAAAACCTGCGGTCCGATTCCTGGTGGTTTAATTTTGACCCATCCCACATTATCATATATCATTGTACGTGTAGCGACATGGCTATGGGTCAAAATTAAACCACCAGGAATCGGACCGCAGGTTTTAGTGCTTGGTTCCGTTTGGCAGGGCAACCCATTTGGCGTACATAATTTCGACAACCACGGCCACAATCTCAGACTCAGGGAGCCCGGGCTGGGGGACCACGTGGCGAAGCTGGAGCTGAAGCTGAAGGACCTCGCCGCGCCTCGGATCACGGGCCGATCGGCCGATCGGATTCGGCATGGGTCATCTGGCTGTGGTTGTCAAAAAGAACCACAAAATGGAACCCTGCTGAAATTCGGAGCGGAACCAGCCGCGGTGAGTTTGGCGACATGGGATTTCTGGGTCAAAAATAGGGTAACCCAAAAACTGGCTTGCCCGATCGGTAAATGGAACCAAGGACGATTCATCCTGTCCGATTCCCGGTTTAATTTTGACCCATCGGAGGTTTCGAGGCAGCCAGTCGGAAAGGGGGGGCCCTTGCTTGTGGGGAGCCGTAGAGCTCTGACGGTTTTGGGATCCTTGAAATTTCTGGTTTTGTGAAGCTTGAAATATTCACCAGAAAATCAAAGCTAAGAGCTGCAAACATCGGGTTGGAGCTCTGCAAAAGGCTGTGTATTTGAGAAACCCACCTTTTTTTAGAAGGGATCTCTTTAGGAGACTCAACCCTTCGGAGGTCATTTTCCCGCCGGAACCCCACCTTTTGCGGGGGTGTTTTGTAGCTCTGCAGCTCTCTTCCGGGGCGAGCCGGGAAAGTTGCCGCTCGTCGGACTGACCAGCATGGGGCGAGGGGAGGGTCACCACCTTCAGCGATACGCTTGCGAAAGGTTCCGTTTTATCAAAGTTATGGGACTGGGAAGCCCACGAGGCCGATTTTGCCCAATGCCCAGATGTCAAGCCCCGTGTGGTTCCGTGCAAGGTGGTGGCAGCAGAAGCTGGCATCACTCGTCGTATCACAATTCTTCAGGCGCGAAGGTCTCGATCCGGAACGGCCGTCGGACATGGGGCCACCGGGAATGTAACGCAACATGGGGCCGCAGTGCCTTTTCTTTGTTGCACTTTGCTTGGATGTTGGGACTTTAACTTTTTGCCAACTCATGGTTTTTCCCATTAAACCACGAAAAGTTAAACTTTTAGCAGGGGAGCAGAAAGCAACCAAGTTTTGCACTACCTCACAGTACATTACATTGTGTTTCGATACCTTCCTTCACGATACATCACATTACCTCGCACTACATCAGATTACATTGTGCTACCTTACTTTGCGTTACAGTACATTACGGTGGGTGATCTTACTTTACGCTACGGACATTTCGTTGCACTACCTCACAGTTGGGTCTCATGACGTTAGGACTCATTATGCTATATATATATATATTATGTATGTATATATATATATATTGACAGACAGAAGTACATTTTGCGCTACAAACATGACATTGCACTACCTCACGTTAGGATTCATTATGTTATATCCATCCGAGCTGATACATGAGATACTTAAGAGTTAATATTACATCGACATGTGTATATATATATATATATATATGTAGGTCTGATGCAGAAGGGAGTGCCAACGGCATCCCTTTATCCAAATGCATCATGTGTTCTCACGGGGTGTGTCAATCGCGTAGTCTTTCACACAAGGAGTGTGGTTTGCGTCGCATGTTGCTCGTGATGGAGACTCCCGTCTTGATCGATGTTTGTATCAGGATGATGAATCATGATTCCCCCAGCCACTTATTTGTCACGTGTTCGCCCAAGACAAGGGAGCTAGTGGCCTGTTTGTCACAGTCAGCGGGTCCTTGCGAATGGTGGATTCTGACAGAATTGGTGTTCCAACAGATGGCTCAAAGCCAAATCCGGAGGTATGACTGACTCAACCTATTCAACCGAAGAGCAGCTTCTTGGTTCCTCAATTGATTGCAGCAATGGTCACCTTCCATGTCCGTGGGTTTGCGATCTTCTGAACCCCGGCCCCCCACCGAAAAACCTCCCGTCAGAGAAACAGCCGTTGGCCCGTGCAGGCGCTGACGGACCCATACCTTCGATGCTCCGTTGTAGCGACGCGGCCAAAGTTTGTGCCAGCTCCAAGCTGTTCCTGAAAGATGTTCAAAACCAACCACCAAGAAACTGGTACCCTCAAAAACGACGAGCCGCCCACATTGCCAAACGGTTGAAGCAACCCTGTTGCCTGTTGAATTCAAGGGGACGCCCAACAACTGGACCGGGTGGGTTTTCCACTGATATGGGGGCACTGTGGGACAATGTTTCTCTACAAATTTCAATAGCAAAGCCTTTGCCAAAGCAAACTGGGTGGAAATCAATATGGCATGTGCGGCATGGGGGCAATGAAATTCTCCCACTAAGACAACCTGACGAAAGCTACCGTGCTCCTCAAGGGACCTGGTTCTATGGAAACATGAACTTCATGTTTTTGCGATTCACTCGTTGGGCACAGTTCATCGGGGAGGATCAAAGGTTCGATGGAAATCTAAAGTGAAACCGGAAATCACAAGAACCCAGCAGTCCATGTCCTGCTTTGGGAGGCATCCACCTATTTTTGTTGTCACCGGGTCAAGGCGCGTAGAACGCAGCGACGCTGAGGTGGGTTTCTTCCTGGCATCCTACCAGCAGCCCACTGGCTGCAGTTTTGTTTGGACGGCCTCTGGTTCCCCAAAATATCCACCGGGTCTATTTGAGAGGACATGCAGGGACAAGCTTCTCTAGCCTCGAAATCCAGGGGACTCACGATTTTTGTCGTATCCGGTGGATCTGCATATTCTGACCGTGGCTCAAGTGGTCAAAATGGTCCTGAGAAAGCGACTGAAGTGTTCTAAGCCCAAGAATCGGCGGGGGTTTGTTGTTTGTTACCCCGCTGTCGAAGGTCATCGCCACAAATCCGCCAAAGCACAAAGGATGGCAGAAGCCGCCAAAGACACATGAGGCGTTTGTTGGGACCATCCCCGGTCAGCCGGTCTAGGGGTGACCTCTAGCAGACCAGGTCTTGCATGCGGGGAGGAGTGAAAAAAGAGAAGCTGCTAGCTCCCTGAAATGGACATATGACATATATATATATATTTATTATTTTTTTGGGGGAGAGCCAAGAGGACTTTCAGTACAGCCACTTGGCTACGCGTCAGAACAATTCGTAGCCTTCGGGCTGCCGGATTTGAAGGCGAAGGAAGCAGTTGGCATTTAGCAGGTCGATTCAACTCGTTTCGACACTCCCGTTGGGTTGAACAAGTCTGACTTGTGTGACCAGCCACTCGGGCAAGACCGTCCGATGGTCTCAAACTAGAAGTGGTTCTTTTTTTCAAGCGGCGTTGGCCAGCAACATGAGACCTGCTTTGGAGGGGCTGCGAGTTTGCGCTACCATGTGGGGAATCGGCTTTTTTGTTTGCATTGTTGGAAAGGCCATTGAAAACATGTATGGCCGCCTGACAGGAAAAGGTTGGCAAAAGGAGCACCCTGTGCCCACCAGAACACCTCCTAGACCAGTCGCCGCATTGCTTCCGGCGCTGAGGCTCACAGGTATCAATGCCTGGCACCCAGGAGACTAGCTTTGTGCAGTTGGTGTCGAATTGGGAACCACCAGTTGCCGTATGACCACGCTGCCCGTTTTCGGCTCATGTTGGCTTATTTTGTTGATTGTGAAGGCTTGGGCCAGTTGCCGTGCGTCAAGCCTATTTGAGTTAATGCTGGAACACTATGAAAACGATCAACCGGATTCTTGTTGTGGTTCTTGGGTGGTTTGACCGAGGGCACTCAAGCTGTCAAGTGATGCCGAGCACTGGACAGCCATGTGAGAGATGTGTGCCATGTTTGCCATGATCGGAACACCCCTTTGACTAAGGCTTACAGGCGTGGTCATCAGCCTTGACTATCGAGTTTTACACAATGGCTATACGGGTTCGTCTTCTGGGAACCACGACTACGACCCACACAAGGAGTTGTTCAATGTTGTCCAGGGTGTCGGGTGTTTCCGATGACATTGTCCGTAGGCGTGGAGTGTGATTCTTTGGCATGCTGTTTGGGGCGTGGGGTGCTTTTCGTTTGAGATGTTTTCCGTGGGCGTGGGGTGTGTTTCGTGGAGATTCTTGTCCGCGGGGTGTTTTTCGTTTGAGATGTTGTCCGTGGGCGTGAGCTGTCTGTTTTGACATGGTGTCCGTGGGCGTGGGGTGGTTTTCGTTGATGTTGTCCGTGGGTGTGGGGTGTTTCTCGATGAGATGTTGTTGGTAGGCATGGGGTGTTTCTCGCTGAGATGTTGTCCGTGGGCGTAGGATGTTGATTTTTTTTTTTTTTTTTATTATTATTATTTGATGTTGTTCGTGGGCGTGAAGTGTTTTCCGTTGAGATGCAGTGGTGTGTGGTGTGTGGTGTGTGGTGTGTGGTGTGTGGTGTGTGGTGTGTGGTGTGTGGTGTGTGGTGTGTGGTGGTGTGTGGTGTGTGGTGTGTGGTGTGTGGTGTGTGGTGTGTGGTGTGTGGTGTGTGGTGTGTGGTGTGTGGGGTGTGGGGTGTGGGGTGTGGGGTGTGGGGTGTGGGGTGTGGGGTGTGGGGTGTGGGGTGTGGGGTGTGGGTGTGTGGGGTGTGGGGTGTGTGGGGTGTGGGGTGTGGGGTGTGTGGGTGTGTGGGTGTGTGGGGTGTGTGGGGTGTGTGGGGTGTGTGGGGTGTGTGGGGTGTGTGTGTGGTGTGTGGGGTGTGTGGGGTGTGGGTGTGTGGGGTGTGTGGGGTGTGTGGGGTGTGTGGGGTGTGTGGGGTGTGTGGGGTGTGTGGGGTGTGTGGGGTGTGTGGGGTGTGTGGGGAGTGTGGGGTGTGTGGGGTGTGTGGGGTGTGTGGGGTGTGTGGGGTGTGTGGGGTGTGTGGGGTGTGTGGGGTGTGTGGGGTGTGTGGGGTGTGTG